CCCTACATAGATATTTTAAGTTCTTTAAACGTGTAGTTACAACAAACTACAATTATAAATTTTAATATTATTGGAACTAGATGATAACATTTCTACACAGGACAGTAATATTAGTTTACACATAATATAAAAGTTAGCATAACGGGACTAGTTAGTTTGTGTACCAAAATAACCACAGTTACTAAACAGAATATATATGTATATATTTATTAATCACTCCTTAAGGACTCCCGTTGCTTTCTTTTGCGTTGCTGTTGTTTGTCTTCTTTTTTCTCTCACCATTTCAGCTTCCATTTGACTTTTTGAATGAGAATGAATAATGTGGATATTTGACCATTTACAATGACAAATGATCTGCAAACATTATTGGTCCCGTATCTTTCAGTTGCCTGGTTAATAACGAATTAACTTTCTCCACGACGCAACCTGGATTACATTTGTGGAATATACTCTTATACCAATGGAAAAGTATCAATTTGTAATACAACGTCACGATTGTAGCTTATAACATAACTGATCGTATCTGTAAAATAGCTTCCTTATTACCCAATTTGGATATAAATCAAATCAAAAATAAGATTCGGATTTGTACACACCCAAGTTATATTGAGGAATTACTTCAAGCTTTATTTTTTCCCAAGTATTTTTAATCCATCCAAAACTTACTTGGGTTTTTTTGTTAATGCGAAGTTAATATTCCTATATTTCATGATGTGCTCCATTGAATGACTGGTTATCATATTGTTCCCACAGACCTAAGACAAAACGCCAGCAACCATGTAGTTTAACCATAAACCAAATTTATGAAATTTAAATAATGCTTATCCATGCCTGTCATTTGGTGTGTCCTACACAGGTAGGAAAAAATATGTATTTGATTAAAACATTATCATTGAGTATGATTGCTAATTGTATATATAATTTATTTTATTGATGATGCCTGTAAACTGGCGTCCCTCATGTACAAAATGAGAATATACTATTATTATGATAGGTGGGCTTCGCTCTGCTGAATTACATTGACGGTTTTACAGGTATGCATGCCTTCTGCAACTGCATCTGCATTCAACCCTACTTCACGTTGTAGTTGTACAGAACCTTTGTTCAACTCAGCAGTAGTAGTCATTCCCCTCATCTCATCATGATCAACCAAAGACAAATATGCACTATCATGATCATTATCACAAATATTCAATTTACCATCATCTATCTGGTCGAATTCATCAATTTCAAACTCTTTAATAACAGCAGAAGATGATTTGGGTTCTTCCTCACAAATCGCTAAAGATTTCATACCTTCACTCTGACTAGTAATATCTTGTAAACTTGTGGAGTCAGAACTCCACTCTGAAGCAGTAACTCTATTCTGTGGCATACTATTCAACAACGGCTTACCAGTTACAACTACAGGCTTCTTCACCGCGCTATTATCGTCACACAATTCGGAGTCAGACCTGGATTTCACATTTAGCTTATCACTAAACTTGCGCACTGATTCACAGCTCACCTTTGTATGCACCTCTTGCAAACGTGTAAAACAAAACCGTGTTTGTCTTGCATCTTGTAACTTATCTGTTGAGGATGTACTACGAAATCTGTTACACTCACTAGGTCTATATGCATTACTAGACATCATGGAGCCTTCTCGATATCCACCTCTCTGAGGCCTATTCGTCATCAATGATTGCGCTTTTCCCTCAGACTGCTCTATTCTAGGGGTAAAATTCGATAGACTGGCGAACTTGCTCATAGATTGATTGACACTAGTATTTACCAGTTTCAGAATATCGTCGAACTTTGGCTCGATACCCTCATCCTCCATACGGGAGCTCATCTTCACCCACTTCCTTTGCAGTCGAATAGGTAGACGTCTTGCTATTACTTCTAGTATAAAACTCGAGTTGAGGTCACTCATGCAATTCATCGAAATCAATGCATTCCTGTAAATCAGCAAATTATCCAAAAACTCAGTGAGTGCCTGGGAGTCATCCTGTAATTGACCACCATTACCCTTAACAGCTTCGAATAATTTCCCTACAATCATCGAAGGTCTTCCAAACCTTTGACGTAATATGCTCATAGCCTCGTAGTAGCCCTCTTTTGGCTTCATAAACTTACAGCACTGTATAGCTCTTGAAGCATCTCCAGTGCAATATCTCATCAAATACATTAACTTCAATTCATCATTTAATAGAAAACTACTCAACATGATCTCAAACTCCTTTACAAATTGTAAATAATCAGCCAGGTTTCCGTCGAAACACCGTGGTTCAAATTTAGGGGGTTTGATGTTCCTATTATCCCTGAACGGCGAAACAGTAACATCAACCATGTCATGCTTAACATCAGACACATCGTTACAATTAACAGACAAGTCAACATGACTTACTTTCCTGTTTGAATCCAAGACACTCTGTCCCTTCTTTGACCCAGGCATTGTTGAACTTGACCCAATTCCAAAAAGGTTCCAGATATTGCTTGTTCAAAGAGGACTTGACCGGCACCAGGAAAGATGAATGGTGACTTTCCAAACTGTAACTAGCTATCTGAATCCGTCAGAAAATATTTCCGCCGTCAGAACCTGATTTCACTGTCAGAAACTGTTAACCACGTCTCGTAAACCGTCAATGTCCAGCTGTTGCTACGCTGGGACTCATGCTGTTTTTTGAAGTTCCTCAGAAACGCTTAGTAATAACGGACGCGAAAACCAAAACACCAATTCTTTATTGTAACACCAATACATAGCCAATTTCGAAATTAAGCTTTAAAACTAAGGTCTGTGAACAAATATTACAATAATAAATCACAATAAAACTGCCGACGGTTTTGGCCTGACTTCTTTCCGAACAGGCACCGATGAGACGATAACTGGTGTATTGATGCCTGTGCGAAAATTGGGGAAGTTGGATTTGAGGAAACAACCATGAATTGATCGTTCAATCTTCGACTACATTGACAGTGGATCTTATATAGGTGGACTGAAAAAGGGCGACGAAAGAGGAGATGAGTCATCGGAACGAGCCATAAGGTGAAAGATGGCGGAAATTAGGTTTTTACACCTTTGGCTACCGTTGTCTTATATGTGGCCTTATCAATGCGTATAAGTTTAAAAAGGATCAGGATCACTCAGACAATTCTTCGCGAACCTAATGCTTGCAATCTATGAAGAATGATGTGTCAGGAGGCAAAGACTTGTGTTTGCTCCCATTTCTTTTCGCTTAGGTTTCGCCAACCCTGTGACTTCTTAGCAGCAGCTGTGGGTATTGAACTCTCAGTGGAAAGCTTCAAGGAGTGACTGGACAAATACAAGCACTGTATCCAGACGGACTATCCTCATGAAGCTCACATGCCACATTCTATTGAGGACACTGTCTAAACCTGTCCCTCACCCATGATCAATCTTGCTTGACTCACTCTTCTCATCAGTCAACATGTTCATTCCACTACTGTATAATTTTTAGGTTTTGTAATCTATTTGTTTTTTCGTTTTCCTCTATAAGTGAACTTATTCTAAGCTAATCATAGCCATATTATTATGTCACTTTTGGCCAAATTAAGTGGCTAAAAGGTGGAAAAATTAACCCTTGTTGAAAGAAATTATTTCAGTTTTGCCCATGAAAGAAATATTGTCAATCAAGTCTCATAAACCGTTAATGCCCAGTTCCTGCTACGCTGGCCGTCACGCTGTCCCTCGAAGATTTTCAGAAACGCTTAGTATTAACTGACGCAAAAACCAAAACACTGTTTGGCGACTAAAGAATTCTTTATTCTAACGCCAACATATAACTAGCAAAACCGGCATTATAGACTGAGGTTTCTGACGGTTTTTCGCTCTTCTTTCTGAACAGCGACCGATGAGACGATGACTGTCGGATTGACGACCCGCGAAAAATATGGAAGGGTTGGGTTTGAGCAAACAACCATGAATTCATCGTTCACTCTTCAACTGCGTTGACATATACACTGGTAGTCCTCCTAGCGGATATAATATACGTTTCGTTTACGTAGATTCTCCGGCTCAGGTTAGATCACTCAGTTATGCACTTATGAACCCCTTCCTCAGAGAGGGGATTAGGCAGTGTGTATCTTACTACTGGTCTGTAAATTGGACATGGATCATTGCATAGGTATTGGAAACACCCATAAAAGATAAGCCGTCAGCCTACATGAAGAAATGTGGCTTGCTGGTGGAGGAACAGTAAAAACTCCAAGCAGGACCATCCTGCCTAGAAAACCTGCTGTTGGTCAGGGAAGATTGGGTAGAAGCTAAGGATATAAGCCTACCACTGGTTTTACCGCTCCTAATAAACCATTCGACAAAGTGTATCTTTAGTAAAATAAAAGGTTTTGGATTAGACTTATAACATTGCGTGTGATTTAGGAATTACATAACGGGTGGAAGACAGAAAGTAAAGGTTAATGGTGTGAAAAATTGTAAATACATGTTGAATTTAGATTCATAGTTTGGTCAAATACTGGTCCTCCTTACCCGGTCAAGTAGTTTCACCTCCACAGGTGAATTTTTTCAAATGGCGGTTAGATATCTGCAGCAATATACAGTTCTAGGATTAACACAGGTCACAAGGGCCTCAGGCCTTTACTATGCGAATCTGAAAAGCTCTACTATTACCCCTGAAATAGCTTCTGAGTGTTACTACTACGAAATTTTTAAGAGATACTATAACATCCTACCTTCTAAGATTACATCATTCTAAGCTCTTTGAAGTATGCGATTGTTTAACTGATTCAGTTTCATTAACTTCATGGTCGCAGATAAAATGTGGCTTGTGCGAAAGTAGGAGATTACCTTCAAATGTTAATTCTTCCTCAATGTCAAACATATGTCCTCGTCTGATAGACTACTTTGTTTTTGTTGGTTCGAGGTCGCCAGGAGATGGTTCTTCAGTTTTGTCTCCTGAGATTCTATGCCGTTTTCCCCCAACAGATCATGAAGATTTTCCTCTTCCTGCTGATGTTTCTTTCTTTTGTCAGCCTGAAGGATGTGTAAATTCCACTAGTAGTACATTCCCCATAAAAACTGTAGATGGTGGATCTAATCACGGGATAAAATCAATGACATTTTTGTTTTCACTTACTGATAAGGACTCCAGTAAAACACGATATGGGATATGTACAAATTTCTTAAGACCTGTTAGCTTCTATGCTTCAAACAAAGATACATCGTGTGACTCAAAGTTTGATTATCAGCATGGAGCTGCCTTCACAAATGGACCGAGTGGTTCCGGAGACAATCCGAACATCATACGCGCCAGTCCACCTGACAATGGAGCAGAACCGTCGAAGAATGCTAGCAGGAATTACAGCCTAACTTCCATTTGTCTAATAACTCACTATCCTTTCGCAACAACATTCACACGTTTGGTGCAGTGTGTACATACTGTCCTGAAAAAGCTACACAAACTGTCAAAATCGTACTGTGTTGAAAGGTAAGTAGTAAAAGTATTATGTTTTCATAACGATATATATGATGTATGAAGAAATTTATTGCCCCTGGCAGAAATGTCAAAAACTTCAGTTTTACTAAATGGGTGTCCGTTTTTTGTGGTGGTTTGGGAATACCGAAATTGTCGAAGTAGTATTTATTTACTGTGATTGCTATATTTAGAGGTAATAGGACCGTATTTAATAGTGACGAATTTAAGTACAAACTCCCTACGTTTGCGTTAATTTTTTACTCTGCTGTAATTTTGACCAGGGATTTGAAGTTGTATTCGTATTCTGTGATTTAGGATACATTTCTGGAATACGACACTTGTTTTTACGTCGGATACTTTATTGCTCCCTCTCTTCACGTCTTTTATCACCTGTTTCCATGGAGACGCTCTTTACGTATTAGTGTCCTGTCAAGACTTCAAATACTAGCTCTCTTACTACCTTATTAAAGAAAAGTAGACCTATTTTTATGTTCACTATAAAAAAGTTATCCCTACTTTTCTTTATCACTTAAAATTATTCGTTATTGTTTTTATCCGAACGCATACGGATAAACCTTGAGTAGGTAAATCTTTTGGGAAATAGTTTAGGTATTATTTCTACCTCTTCCTTCATGAATGACGTAATTATTTTGTAATTGTCATTATTTCTTTATTTTGTGGTAGCAATAGACATTGCGTAAAATCAGATTACCCATTAAATGAAAAGCATATATAAAAAACCAAGTTGCCTTTGACCCTAAATGTTTGTGTTCTGTCTCTCCCTTCAAGGATTATCCCCATCCAGGCTTTAATGAAAACAAAACACGTAAATCAGCGAAGAGTCTTTTCGGCAAATTCATTTTCTTAGCTGTACAATCGCAAATATATATATATATATATATATATATATATATAGGTTGTTTTGTATATATGTGTACATTAAGTCTGTCAAACAAAATTACAATTGGTTAAGGTTATTTTAACTAAGCAGGTGAAGGTTGGTAATACAAGTCAAGAAAATTAAGTGTTAATGAAACTAGGGTAGTAACAAAGGTGATGAGTTATCGCAAACAGTTGTTAAAAGAAGTTACGTAATAATATGAATAGTTTGACGAGTGATTTTTACTCAGGATGCACATAGAAACAAAGCAGATAGTACGAAATTATGTAAGAGATCTAAATGAATACAAGAATTATAAGCAATTAAAGAACAGGCAAAGAAACAAAATTAAGTCATCAAAATAAAAAAATAAAATGAAATAAGTTTTTACCATGACAGTAGGAGTAGTTGAGTAATCCTCTTTTGTATGCACATCTCCGGTTTTTCTATATGAATGGTCAGAGCTTCAGAGGTACAAAGAAGACGAAGCCGTATTGCCTTTGATAGGTTATTCTTGACTCTGTAGATTACTTTGAAGGAGGCGTTTGTTGAAATGGAATGATCAGTGTTAACCAGGTGTTCAATTATCGCACTTCTTATTGCACCACCATTACCTTTTCGCTACCATGCTGGATAGTGTTCTTGAATCCTCTTGGACAGGGTGCGCGTCGAACGACCGCTGTACCTGGCTCCACAGCAGCAGGTGAACTGAGATGTGTACAGAGAAGTGGTCAGATGCGGAATCTTGTCCTTGAGGCTTCTGCAGATCAGTGGACGACTGGAGGACACGATTCTTAGCTTTACTGCAAAGAATGTTCTTCTCAAAGATGATGTGATCCTTCTCTTGAGAATATCGCTTCCTAAATCTCCCTTGAAATCCAAGTTCATGTAGAATTTATTTTTAGGAGCAATTAAAGTTTCGTTTCTCCGAATTATTGGTTTGATATTTTTGTCGATGAATCTTATTGTGTATCCACTTTGGATGAAGATTTCTCTTAGAATATCTAATTTTGTTTTCAGAACGTCGGGACTACAGATGCGTCTGGTGCGGGTGGCAAGTGATTTAAATAAATTCCGCTTTTGTAGAATGGGTACCCAACTATAGAAGCTTGTTAGTTGACCATTCCACATAGGTTTTCTATGGATCGGTCTTCTTAGGCTCCCATCAGTTCTTCTTGTTAGTTCCACATCAAGAAACGGAATTTTTGACTCGTTTTCCATTTCAAGAGTGAATTTTATTGCTGGATGGCAACAGTTAAATGTCTTCAGCAGTAGATTGGGGTCATTGTTGTTGTCACGAATAATGCAAATATCGTCCACATATCTTTTATACAGTCGCAAATTGTCAATGCTCGGCTTTAGTGGACCTCTCTCGAGTCTTGCCACGAAGCAATCTGGTATTAGTGGACTCAACGGAGATCACATTGCAATACCATCCTTTTGTCTGTAGATGGTGTCGTTGAATGTGAACTGGACGTTCAGAGTGCATCTCAATAGTAATTCCTTCAAATATGTTGTTGGTATTTCAATATTGAGATGGTTGTCATCTATCTATCTGCATATGAAGCAGACCATTTCTGTGAGTGGGACATTGGTGAAAAGTGACTCAATGTCGAAGGACAGCACAATTTTGTTAGATACAGTCATGTCTTGTATGCAGTCGACGAACTGCAAGGTGTCACGGAGCGATTGCGTACATAATTTTTTCCTTACAGGTTCCAGGATATCTGCTAGCCATTTTGCAATAGAGTGGTAAGGGGAAGCTGACATATCCAGATTTGGGCGAGGTGGGAGACCAACCTTGTGTACCTTTGGTAGACGATAAAGTCTTGGTATTATTGAACCTGTTGGCCGGATCTGGCCATAGATATCCCCACTGATTAGTTGGTTGGTCTTCATTCTCTTCAAGACGTCTGTAAGCTGCTTCTCAATCTGTTCCGTGTTGTTTCTTTCATTGGAAGGTTGGGAAAATTTATCTTCATTCGACAATATATCGTTCAATTTCTCGATGTAGTCTCTTCGATTCAGAAGCGCTACACCAGCACCCTTGTCGGGCGAGTTATAAGCAGATCTTTGTTATCTCTCAACTGTTTTAATTCCTCTCGGTGCCGCTTTGTTAGGTGGTTGCGGACTTTTGATTTTATATTCAAGTATTGTATTGTATTTGTGAGTATTGTATACAAGTATTATGGACTGCTGCCACCAATACTTGAATACAAAATCAAAAGTCCGCAACCACCTATCAAAGCGGCACCGAGAAGAATTAAAACAGTTGAGAGATAACAAAGATCTGATAATAACTCGCCCCGACAAGGGTGCCGATGTAGTGCTTCTGAATCAACACTGTATATCTCATATCTCATTTTTGGGCTTTATATTATTTTATTCAGGTAGTATGGGTGTTCTTTTGCTGCAATATACAAAATATATCCATCATATCACTAAAATAATTGGACATATTAGTGAATCTGATCGTTGAGATATTTTACTGACAGGTTACACTAATAAAGATGGGCGTTCGTTTAATTTGTAACCCTTTAATGTTAGTTGATTCATAATGCAGAACAAGGAAATGTAAGTGGTCGTGATAACTGTTAGACGGATTGGAGTCTTTGTCCTATATACCTCGATTTATGAAACACAAAACAGATCAATGCTAGAAAATTGATTAGTGAATGACTGATGCACATTCGGTCAAAGATGTCGAATATGTAAAAATAAAATTTTCAAGTGTTGGTTCGCAGGGATTTCACCGGTTACAGATTTGATAACACGCTGACCTCAATCAGAGAAACATTGGAAAACTAGGGAGTATAGTACAACTGTTAAGTCCTAGTTTGAGACTCCCCAGCAGTACACACCTACTGTGCCCTGAGATCAGGACCTCCTGGTCACGAGGCGAGATTGCAGACCATCCAGTCGCTGGAATGGTCCATGAATTCCAGCTTCTGCCGATTCGGAATGTATAAAGCTCAACTACCAGTCATTGGTGCCTAACTGTCCTCCTATTAAACTTAGGGGATTCCACTACTCATGACTTTTCATTAGAACACTAGGTAACTTTCTGTATAGAGCCAGTCGCTAGTGAGCATTAGGTTAATTTTTAAGTTTTGGTCTGCGCTCTAAATATATATATATATATATATATATTTGAATAAAGCAAAAGCAACAGTTTACTCAGAATAAAGTGGTGCCATCAATGCTTATTTCGTTGGCTTCTCATCACTGCTTACAGGTCAAAGTCATTATTAAGTATATCTACAGAAACAATTTTAACATACTTGTACAGAGTTCATTTTTAAACAAAAATCAATCAATACATGCATACAATAATATATATTTATGATAATAGTAAACAATTTTTCCCGATCAATAATGATCATGTACAATGGAAAGTTTCTACATTAAGTAATCAGATGAAAGAGAGGGTGAAAACATCCAGTTACCAGGGCAAGGAAAGACTGGTATCCGCTTCTTCCTGAACGCATAAATCAGGTTTCAGGCACTTGATGGAGATTGCTTCAACAAACTTGATGAGAACTGGACTCTTTTACCTATTGATAATTTTGAAGGATCTTGCGACTTCCACCTCATGACTCTTCTCAAGGAGATACCTGTTGATAGCACTGTTTAAAGCACTTGTTCCCTTTAGACATAGGCTTTTTCGTACATGTTCAGAAAATTGTAGATATGCCCTTCTTTCTGTTCTTCCAATGTAACTGCTCCCTCAAATGGATGAATGCACAGGTCGGGCGTCTAAGCTCAGAGGAAAATCGTCTAGGTGGTCATTGGGGCTTACATGGTCGCAGGTCTGATAATGGGGATCGTATTCTGCAGATTTGCACGGATCACAAACAAGGTTCGTCTTGCTATTTGGTGGGGTTCATAAACAGTGTTGTCTAAACGTTGACGTGAGCAAACTAGTAGCACCTGCTACTTCTTTGAAATACCAAAAGGAGTTACAATCAATGCTTGCCAGCAACCCCCCAAGTAGTATAGATGAACATTGGCTTCATCTGCAAGGTGCCATGCAAAAGGCGAATGTAGCCGCTTGCAGCTTGAAAGAATGCTCAGCTAAAAACGGCTGGGTTTCCGCGAGTTCCTTGCAACACCTGGATGAACGCCGGTCCATTCCGATTGCCAGCGAATACAACAATAAGCAAAAAATGCTCACGCGCAAGATTAGACAATGTTTACGTGAGGACCGCGAAGCCTGGTGGTCAGAACGTGCGTGTGAGATGGAGTCAGCTGCTGCATCTGGCAACAGTCGGAAGCTGTTCCAACTCATCCGAGCCACCGGCAGCAAGGAAAAAGGTGTCAGCGAGATGGCCTGTGAGGCAGATGGCACGCCAATTACCAGCTTGAAAAGACGCCTGGAACTCTGGGTAGAGTACTTCAGGAAGCAGTTTAGCTGGCCACCAGCTTCAGTGTCTACTGTCATTAGCCCGAGTGCTCCTTGGTCGGTTAGTACCGGTCCACCAACCGAAGCGAAGGTCCGTAAGGAAATCCAAGTGTTAAAACGCCATAAGGCATTCGGCCCAGACAATCTGCCCCCGGCTCTTTTTAAAGATGGTGGCGAAACTGTCACAATGGCTCTAACTGGATTATTTAGGAAGGTATGGGAGACTGAGAGTGCACCATCAATGTGGAACGAAGCCATGATCGTCCCCATCTTTAAAAATGGTCGACGTAATTCGTGTGACAATCATAGGGGTATCAGTCTGCTACCAGTTACGTATTAAACATTGGCTGCTGTCTTGCTTCGCAGGCTGTGCAAAATACGTGAGGGATTGATTCACGAAGAGCAGGCTGGGTTTCGTTCAGGTCGTGGATGCATTGATCATGTGTTCACCCTTCGTAAGTTGCAGGGATACAGCCACACGTATTGCAGGCCAACAATCGTTGTGTTCCTTGATATTAGGACTGCCTTCGATTCGTTGGACAGATCTGTGCTCTGGAACTGTTTGTTAGAGAGGGGTGTACCTAGGAAGTTTGTTAACATCTTGAAAGCCCTATACAGAAACACCTCGGGTAGAGTGAGGGCATACAACCAACTATCATCACTGTTCCAAACCAATAGTGGGGTTAGACAGGGTCTCCCGATTTCTCCGTTTCTCTTTAACTTCGCCATCGATGACATTTTGGAGTCAGCTCTGAGGGGTGTGCGTGAAGGTGGTGTTGATCTGCTACCTGGAGACAGAGTTTTCGACCTCGAGTATGCAGACGATATCGTCTTACTGTGCGATAGCATGCAGGCTGCCCAAATCGCACTTAATCAGTTGGCGATCAATGTCTGTAAGTATGGAATGTGCTTTACACCGCCTAAGTGCAAAGTACTGTTACAAAATTGGGAGGAGCCTGTACCTGCACTCACTATTTCAGGTGAACCGCTTGAAATTGTCGATAAGTTTGTGTATCTGGGTAGTTATGTGAGTGCTGGCGGAGGGGTGACGGATGAGATTTCCAACCGTATAATGAAGGCTAGGGTGGCATACATCAACTTGAGCCACCTATGGCATCGTTGTGACGTTAGCCTGACTGTCAGAAGTCGGTTATACAATGCTTTGGCGCGGGCTGCCCTGCTCTACGCCTGTGAAACCTGACCTCTCCGAGCTGGGGATGTGCGGCGACTCTGCGTGTTCAATCACCTCTGTCTCCGCAGGATTGCTTGCGTTCGATGGCATCATCGCGTGAGTAATTCTGAGGTTCGGCGGCGTATGTTTGAACACAGTGGAGATCACCATTCATTGAATGTTGTCATCTGGAAACACCGGCTCCGGTGGCTTGGACATGTGCTGCGAATATCACCCCAGAGGCTTCCGTGCAGGTCTCTGTTCGCTAGCCAGCCCTGGGACGGGATGGAAAAGGCGGAGAGGTGGTCAGTCCATAACGTGGCGTCGTGAGATGAAGGATGTTTGTGCTGAGTTAGCATCGGTTGGTGCGTCAAGACTCCGTAGTTGGGGTCCGCGAGAAAGCTCGAAACGTTATCGGATATGGCCAAGAATCGTAATCAATGGCGAACATGTTGCAATTTCCTTCTTTCTTCCCTTCCCGATGATATTTGACGAATACTGTTTGAGCTTGTTAAGCATGACTTTTCCTTCCAGGTGAAGTTCTTTATCCATTCTATGTTTTATTATTATTGTGTGGCGCATCTTTCTTGGTGCCATATTGTAAATAATTAAATAAATAAATAAATGAATAAATAAGTAAAATTTCGTAACATTTTAATGAATTTAGTTATTTCCTTTTTTTTGTCTTTTATTTCACCCAATTATAATTATTTCCATTTTAGTCCAAGCATTTGGGATGTATTAACAAGTAATACAACTTTATCGTGTTCTATTCCTGTTGCGGAAGGTTTACGTCAATTTCAAATGTGGTTACTTCGCCTTCTTAGCGCACCTGCACCAATACCTGGCTGTACATATGTTAATGTAGGTTTAGTGCAAAAATTTCGAATTTTGTGTGTAAATTGCCTGTGTATATTCTATAAGTTGTTTTGTGTGTATAACCAAAAGGCGAAGGAAATCATAATTTAAAGAAAGGATGAAAAAAACCGTAGCAGATAGAGAAGTGAAAATGGTTTTCTCTTTCAATTGACACGACACTTTAAAATCGTAACATTTTTCACCAAGACTGCTCAGTGTTTTAACTATGTATCGAATTGTTGAACTGTGGGGGTCTGGTTAGAAGATTGTTATTGTTATTATTCCTTCAGATTCTCAGTGGAACATAAAGCTTCAGCAGTTCACCCTGTTTTCTGCAGTCATTTATTTCTTGTTTAGCTCTATCGTCTCTCAAGAACTTTTATTTCCTCCTCACACGATTTTTTCTGTAATATCCTAGGAACTAAGCTAAACTCGTCAGTTACTTCCTGTTCAGGTTCTACTCGAATGTCTGGAGTATGATGTCCGTCAGTGATCTCCTCCAACGTATGGTCCACTCCACTTCCATTCTTTTCTGCGTATTTGTTGGGCGATAGGATCTGGGTTGGCTCATTTCCTGAATCCTTTCTGTCTGACCATCTGGTTTTCAGTATGGCGACAGGGAAGGGATCTGTAGATGAAAATCGGGAGCTGAAGTCTCTTGTGAATGCTTTTCATAGTTTTAACTAGGTAGTTTTCTTGAGCCCACACACTGGAAGATATGCAAGTGAAAAGCAACAAGCTGGCAGAAGAAGCATCCATAGAAGATAGGACTTCAGGTGAACATAGAGAAAACAGAGTTAGGTGATGAAGATTCCTGGGTAACACCAACAGCAACAACAACAACAGACAACAATCAGCCAGCATAAATGGGAGGAACCTGAAAGAAACAACCTCCTTTACCTACCAACCTGGAAAGCATCGTTTCGACTACAGGCGGACGGAACTGACAAAGATATCAAAGCAGCGAGGATCGGGAAACCAAGGCAATCTTTCATTACTCTCAAGTCTATGTCGAGGTCAACAGCACTCAGCATGAAAATGAAATAACATCCGGATTTTCAACTCCAATGTGAAGTCAGTGCTACTTACTATACGGATCAGACTTGGCGCGTCAATAAGAGCACCTCAAACAAACTACTGACCTTCATTAACATCTGTCTTCGCTCAATACTACTCGAGATCAGATGGCCAGAAAAGATCAGCAATAGGGATTTCTGGGAGCAAACCGACCAGGAAACGATTGTGTAATATAAGCAGGAAGAAGTGGAGATGGATTGGATTAACCATACTCTGAGGAAACCATCAAGTGACATCACTAGACAAGCCATAACTCGAGTGGAAGCCGAAAGGGAAGCGGTAAGTTGGTCGTCCAAGAGTGACTTGGATAAGGTCATGTGAAGAGGGGATGAAAGCATGTGGGCAGACTTGGAGCCAGGTGAAAACTCTAGCGGAGAACTGAAGGCAATGGAAACGCGCAGCTGAAGCCCTAAGTTCCTCCAGGAATTAAAGGAATTAATAATAATAATGTTTTCGTGAGAGAATAGACGTACTAAAGCTAAGCTAAAGTAACTAGACCTTTTGAGAGTTTTGATAAACTTACTTCAACACAAAGTGGATTTAATTGCATATAAATGGGTTGTATCACTCTTAGCACCATTAGTTGTTATTCCTTTTGTTGTGCAGTATTACTCAGTTTCTTTCTGGAATTCATTGGTGTTTATTGGTTTCAGTGATGTTGTTATCTTCGTTTATATTTACTTGTCAACACGGCAGTATATACTTGAAGCTATAGGATATGCACTTTGCTTATGTAGTGGTGACTACTTATGCTTGTTTATTTCTCTTCATATTTGTAGCTTTCTGAATAATTAGTGTTATTTAGTTTGATTTTTTTTATTGTATTAGGAAGGCGGCGTCACTGGTTCAGTGGTAGAATGCTTATCATCGACTGGGGTTCGATTCCCAGCCGATGAACTCTTAAACCTTGCCTGGTGATAGGTCTGAGAAAGATAGATAGATAGATAGATAGATAGAGAGGGAGAGTCGGGGGCTATCAGCCAAGTTCCCTAAAAATAACATCGACATCAGTGAAACTTCTAAAAGCGAATCTAGAAAAATACTTCGTATCATTGTGGTAGAAAGTCGATTTATGTATTTGTGAAGCTGCAAATAGCAAGATTTAATTCTTGTATGTATTGAACGTTAACTGAACTATGAAGGCTTCATTACATATTCTATTCATCTATGCATGTTGATTTTTAAGACTGATTGTATCCTTCATTATGGATAAAACTTTATTTTAAAAAATCACACAGTCATGAGCTGACATCAGTTAGAGAACCACTGGAAAACCTGCGAGTACTGGACAGCTGTTTCGTCCTAGTTTGGGACTCTTCAGCAGTACGCACCCACCGGGATTCGAACCCAGGACCGCTGAGCCACTGGGACCCCATCGGGTCCGGTGGGTGTGTACTGCTGAAGAGTCCCAAACGAGGACGAAACAGCTGTCCAGTACTCCCAGGTTTTCCAGTGGTTCTCTAACTGATGTCAGCTCATGAATAAATCCTCCATGCAATCAAACAAAATCCCTACAAAACTAATACTTGAAAATCACACAGTGTTATGCAGTAGTATTTACTGATGACAACGTTTCGAGCACAAATAATTGCCACTGGTAATCATATCAAGGCACACACAGCTTTCTTGCTTCCTTTAATATACATGACTAAACATCGATTAGACAGAGTTAAAAATTCTAAAAAGTAATATAGATAGACTGAGAGAAAGAGAGATTTATTACTGCATCCCAGTTCATCGAGTCTACACCCAATACATGCAGTGGAGTTGACTCAATGCAAATACCAGAGATATGGAAGATATTATTACCACCAGTCAGCCAAATCAGAGGAGGATAATAAATAATGTTAAAATGTATTCAATTGACATTCTAACAAGTTACTTATTTTGACTATAACAATATCTTATTTCCCATGTGATTGTATTTGATTGATAACGCTAATATTATCATTATTTCTGAACGTACTTTATCTTATATTACTGATTTTATTCAAATGTCTAATTATCAATTTTTACTCATGTATATAAATGAAGCAAGAAAGTTGTGTAAGTAAATGCCTTGCTATGATTATGAGTAGCAATAATTTGTTCTCGAAACGTGGTCATCAGTAAATATTACTGTATAACACCACTGTGCTTGATTTTATCCAAATCTACCACCACAGTGCCCAAGTTTTATATTTTTATCATTGTATCCTTGCTTAATAGGAGTAGCAAGGCATTTCTCAGATTAATTTATCTCTGACTAGAGTACATAAAATGACCTATTTAAAACTACACACGTGTTCTGTAATACTCTTATGACTAAGTCCAAATAGCTTCCTTTTTTCTTTTTGTTTTTCTTCTGAATTTACATTGTCTGTATGTGTGTGTGTGTTTATTCTTCAGCTTTCTATTCAGCCGAATGATTCAGGAACACCTCCATGTTTTGCTCTCCCTGATCAATCACGTCTTCCATTAGTTGATTTTCCTATAAATTTACCATTTGAAATTATGGGTATTCGAAAAACTCTTCGTTTGATTATATGCTTACTTTTGGAACAAAAGGTGAGTTCACGCTACTACTTAAATTATTCAACTAAAATGTTTATGAATAAAGTAAGAAAAAACAGAGGTTTGTACAGAGTAAAATGGTAATGTTATTTATTTCGTTAGCTTTTCATCATCAGCTCGGCTTAGAACCTAAAGATATCGTTATTAAGTTTATGTACAGAAACTATTTTCACATACTTACTCAGACAGTTCAAGTTTAAACAAAACAAATCAACATATGCATACAATGGTAATAATAATAATAATACCAACTTTATTCCAAACAACAGCAGTGATCGTATAGGATGGAATTTTCAGCATTGAAGATTACGTAATCAAGTGAAGGATGTTGAAAATCAGCGGTTACCCTCCAAAGATCTTCATTAACAGGTACGGAAGATATGAAGTCTCAAATATCAAAAAAATCTCAGTGGGAAAAACAGCCTATCTGCATTCAACTCGATTTCAAATGTGACAATATTGCAGGAATCGCCAACAAGAAAACTGAATACGTTACTAAACAAAGCTTATCATGCAGCTAAGTTGGTTCCCATCCACCAGACAACATGCCATTATTTGGTACAATCAAGAGTCGACAGATATCCTTCTCATGTTAACTCTAACTGTGCATACAATTTTACATATATCTGCAGGAGCAGTTACATTGGAAGAACAGAAAGAAGGCCACACCTTTGATTTTCTCGACATGTACCGAAAAGTTGACGTTTCAAGGGAACAAATGCATTTAATGGTGCTACTGTGAGGCATCTCCTTGATATGGGTCATGAGGTGGACGTCGCAAAATCCTTCAAAATTACCAACAGACTAAAGAGTTCAGTTCTCCTCATTTTTGCCGAAGAAATCTCTATGAAACGTTTCAAACCTACTTGATGTGTTCAGAAAGAGGCGGTTATCAGTATTTCGTTGCCCGGGTAACCGCATGTCTTTATTCTCTCTCTCTCTCTCTCACTTGATTACATAAACTTCAATGCTGAAATTTCCATTCTGTATGATCGCTGCTGTTGTTTGGAATAAAGTTGGTGTTATTATTATTATTACCATTGTATGCACACATTGATTTGTTTTGCTTAAACTTGGACTCTCTGAGTATGTTTCTGTACATAGACTCAATAATAATATCTTGAAGCTGTAAGCCGAGCTGATGATGAGAAGCCAAGGAAATGAATGATGGTATTGTCTTATTCTGCACAAAACTCTGTGGTTTTTGCTTTATTCAAATACATAAATGGAACTATGTCTATAAAATGTCTATGTTTTAATGGTAATTTACCCTTCAGTATTTTTTTCAAAACTTTTTTTAAGAAAACATGTTTGATGTGCATTTTTCACATTCATTAATTGTTATTATTACTTACTGTCCCGATCGCTGCTACTATGAATATGGTAGTACGGTTTGCATATCGTTCGTATAGACCCAAGAATTATAACAAAAGGTCACATTAATTGGAGGGGTGGAGGTAAGTATGAAGAGATTTGACTCTAGTTCTGATAGACTTAATCATGCAGAGATAGTATTGAGCTAAAGAGCAGAAGACTAGGACTATTCTTTTGCAATCCTAATAGATATTTATGTTTGTGTTGTTCAAGTGAATGGATCCAGTTCAACTAACCCCCGGCCCCCACGCCAACACACAATGTAGAAAGATCACTAATACTCTCTGATGCCTTTTGTGTAATCTCTCTCTGCTTATGCACCAACTGACTCTGTAGGTGCAGTCGTCTAAAGCTGAAACTGTTTCAAGTTTGATACGTTAAAAGGCAAAACGATCTTATTTCATGGTTTTAATGCCAAACCAAGGGGACTGAGACACATATACAGATCTATAATCCAATGCAACAAATTCAGTGTTGTAGAAATTTCAATTTCAAGGATCAGTTCTGTGATGAGATTGACTTATTTTCAGTTAGAGACTACTTCATTCCTTCTAGTGTTTGTTTCGGTGAACAGCGTTATGGGATACATGGTTTTAGTTATATATATAACTATGGTTGATAGTGTGTAGCTGCCATATTTCTTTAGATGTACTTATGATACAGTGTGTGCTGTGGAATTCACAGCAGTTGGTGCAATATTGCATCTAATTTACTCGACAGTAGCAAAAACAATAAAATAAATAATATTACAGAATTGATAATAGCAGCTGATTTAGCATTACCAGTAACAATAAAGTCAGATAATAGTTGGTTGGAAGATTTCATCACGAGCTGACATCAGTTATAGAACCATTGGAAAGCCAGCAGGGAGTATTGGACAACTGTTTTGTCAGCAGTACGCACCCACCGCCACGGTCTGAACCCAGGACCTTCTGGTTACTAGGTGAGCTAGACCATTAAGCCACTGGGACCCGATCCAGTGGCTCATGAATTCTAACTTCTGCCAATTTATGACACAGAGCGACCACTTGGTAATGTCTTCTGAGTCACTGCCTCACCTCGGTGGGTGCGTGCTGATGAAGAGTCCCAAACCAGGATGAAACATCTATCCAGTACTCCCTACTGGTTTTCCAATGGTTCTCTGACCGATGATGTCAGCTCATGATGAAATCCTCCAACCAATCAAACAAAATTAATTGGTGGATGATGACTAGCAGTGGAATCTAGGATGCTCATTTCGTCTTATTTGGGACTCGTAAGCTGGATGTACCTGCATTTCCTAGTGAGTGATGATGTTCCCCACTGAGTCCGACATGTCAACCTGAGACAGAGCATTTCGGTCCAATCAATCGACGGGAAAATCTAAAATTCAATTAAATCAAACAAAATGCTTACAAAAACCAATACTTGGAAAATGATAGTAATGTTAATGACTAAAATAATAATAATAATTTTTAATAGTTAATAATTTTTAGTAATATATTAAGTTGTCTTTTATACAAGTTGATAGTAACCTGTTGGGAATGCTTTGGTTGACGCGTTCCCTAGACTATGATTTAAAGATTTTGAGTTTTCAGGGAACAAAGAAAAGGGTATCTCTCTCCCCCCTTCACGTTCCCAGTGGAACATAGAGCTTCAAGCTAGAGACTTGGAGTTTCTATGGCAATGTTGATTTTGACAGGATGGGGTTGCTAGCCTCTTTACCAGCTTTATATCTGGCTTAGCGAGCGAGGTAAAGGAGTGCGTCAGTGTCGTAGATGGAACCCCGGACAGTGTGCATGGTTGAAGAGCCATATATTTTTTTTATTTTTGATTACAGCTTGATTCCACACTGTATTTTTGGTACAAGTATGGAATTTTCAGCATGGATATCGGTAGCCCAAATTTCGCAGGCCGACCATAGATATCAGGTGTGCGTCGGCAGGGGATCGAACCTCGAACCATGTACATGGTCGGTGAGAGTCCTAACTACTGTGCCACCGACGCATATATATATATATATATATATATATATATATATATATATAATTGTTGGTCATCGGAACATGAAATTTATTCTGCGAAGGTTACGTCTCTTATGCACATATTTACTGATTATCTTTGCAGGGATGTGTACTAAACACAAATTACTTTTTTTATATTAGCTTGGCCCCTCTATTATTATTATTATACAATATAGGTGGTTTTACAATCATCGGATTATAATAAATTATCGTTAACAATCTTGGCACTCGTTGCACTCTTATATCCGCTTCAATACATGTTTCCAGTTATTCCATTGTTACCTGCATGTATGCCAGATGCTGAACAGGTGAGTGTTTAGTTGGTTTCTCTTCTCTTCTTTTTTGTTTTTGTTTGTTTATTTGTTCTTCTATTCTCTTTTGTTACAATAACCGTTTAAGTGTGTTACTTAGATCAGGTTGAAGTGTATACACTTGCCTTTTTTGTTAGTTAGATTATCTGAGCGATAATCAGAGTTTACCAGCGAAAGGTTATAAATCAAGTATATTTATGATTGGTTATTAGTCGTCACATATACCTCATTTTATACCAGTTGTGAGGTGGATAAGACTGAGCAGGTAACAGTTTAATAATTAACCTTATTATCTCCACTTACACACAGGATGCAAATAGACTTTTCGAGGACGTCAACTCAGTGGTTTTATTATTATTATTCTTTCGGGTTCCGAGTGGAACGTAAGGCTTCAACATTGCATTTCCACTTTATCCTATTCTCTGTGGTCCCATTCAGTCGGCTCAACGAATGCCCATAGGCTGTCATCTCCTCTTCACGCGACATTCTCCATGTCACTCTCATAGTGATACCTAACGTGTCATTTTCAGCTCAGGTTCCACTCGGGCGACAGTCTGGCGCGTAGTATCTTTCGATTGTCGCCTCAGCGAGCCTCTGATCCATCTCCATTTCCTTCTACATGTTTGTTGAGCAAGAGGTTCTCAGTTGGTTCTTTCTCAGAGTTTTCTGTTTCTAATTCTCTTTGACTATTTAGTGTTATGTGTTGAACTAACGAAGGCATGTGTTGATAAAGATCTGCAGCCAGATGTTGGGAATACCCCAGATGATGTGTAGTGCAAGTTTCTGACCCATTAAGAAGAAATGACTGAGGGTGATAAAGGTCTGTCTCGCCTTTTCCATTCTGGCTTTGACATCCTCATGCGTCCTATTGCCTGTAGATAAAACGATGATGCCTAGTCGGATAAGTGAAAGAAGGTACCGCTTTCAAATTTCTCCCTTTGTGATAGTGAATAATACTTAATTGTTATTGACGTTGATGGTTGGTTATCTCTTTCACCTCCATCTTTTCTATATTCACATGAAGTCGTATGGTTGCTGCCAACCTCTTCTGCCAGTCTGTTGGTTTTCGCTTATTGATTTTCGAGTTTTTGTGATATGAGGCATAAATAATCCTCGAAGTCCAGATCTTCTAGAGTCTTCGTATCCATCTGACGTATTCCTGTCCTCCTGCCACCCATAGTCTTCGAAATAATTTAGCCCATCACATTTGGGAATATCATCAATAATAGTAGGCAGTCAATTGGAAAGGCAGGCCAGACACAGACATTCATCACCCTTGAATGAGTTTATGCCAGTAAAAAAAGTTTGAGCATTAAGGAAGAGATCAAATAAAGTATAATTATATTTCAATAGTTTTTACACACAATAATAAGTTTTGTTATTGGTAATATTTCGAGCAAAATTATTGCCCGTGTTCACACCACTGTTGGAATTGTTACTTCAAAACAATTATCTATCCACCTTTAGTATTATGTAACTCTTAAGATTTGACTTAAATTATTTATTGATTTGTCTGCATATACACATATTACTACCTTCGTTACTCTTATCACCACCTGCATAAATCTTATTATCAATATTTTGTTATCATTGTAATCATTGTTATTACTAACGTTCAAAACATTTATCACATTATTATTATTATTTGATCCACAAAATCACCGTCATTGGTTAAATTTTTATATATAAATCTATGTAAATTAGAGTAAAGCCTGAAGAAGATCTAATTGAAAACAGCAATATTGTTCGCTTATATGTTTGATCCTAATATTAATAATGGGAATATTTAAAGATTTGAAATATGCAGAAGGAAGTGGATATGAATTGGACACACACTGCGGAGATTGTTGAGTGAAATCGCGTGCCAGGCAGTCACTCAAGGGGAGTGAGTCTGAATAGGAAACGATGCGTTTAATGTCACTTCGAGGGTGACATAGAGGAGATCTTGTGAATAGGAGATGAGAGACTATAGACAGTTTGTGAAGCCAGGTAAAGACAACCACAGAGAACTGGATAAACTGAGGAAATACTATTGAAGCTCTTTTATTCCGTATGTTCCATTCGGAACCGAAGCAAACGAGAATAATAATAGTTAATAATCTAGTTAACAAGAAGAGATTCTTAAAAGTACATTGGCCGAGAATTGAAACTGGACCTCTCTTATGCTAGGTGAGCATTTTAGCAGCGAACGTGCAGAACTGAAATATACTTTCAGTGTATAATTGGTACACTGGCTTGCCTACATGTATGCATATCATCTGATTACGCTGTTAATGTGTAGCTTTTTGTTTTATTTTAAAATATTCTAACTAACTTCATTGGTTAACTAATAATCTACTTTTATTTCCATCTTTCTCTGTTATTTATTTATTATTTTTTTGAAAAACTGTCATCGTATTTAGCTCCTCCTGGCGCCTACTCCTTATTTGATTGGTGTACCAACAGCTTTCTATACTGCAAGGAAGATATTTCGTATGCCAAAAGATGTCTGGCTAGCTGATTTGGATACTTGTGAAGTGTGTGTTTAGTTGTTTTCTCATATTCCCTCTTATTGTTGTTTTGTTTTAGTTAGGATTTTATGATTACTTTGTTGTATATCTATTGCGCAAATACATGGAGCTGAATACTACTGATTGGTTGAGACGAGTAGCTGTACGCCAACCAGTCAGGTCTGAGTGATATGGAAACCGGACAACCGTTTCATTCCTTTTTTTTGGTCGATCTCATTATCGGTGTATCCGATTTGACTCTGCTTAGATAGTGGAATCACAGTAGTTACCATAAACTGAATTCATTATCCAAAAGAAAGTGTAGTAAAATTTCACCTGAAACTGTGTAAATTCCAGATTTGATATATGTCTTCCACAGATCATTAATTTTTTCTATTAATCAAAGTATTATTATCAAGTTAGATCACGAAAACAATTGATAACTGGGGAGTACTGGACATCTGCCTTGTCCTAATTTGTGACTCTACGGGTGATGGAGCTCAGAACCTTCAGGTTATGAGAGATGCCCGTTGATCTGTAGTTCTAGTGAGAAATTTTGACCAGATAGGGAGAAATACTGGCTGGCGGTTACCCTATACACTGCAAACTCTCAGAAGGTAGAATTCATGAGCCACTGTATTCCTTTCAAAATGGTTAAATGCTCAGTAAGATTGACCTCTTAAACGTAGAGGTTGAGGGTTCGATTCCCTTGTGGAGTGACGGGTGCCTACTGTGAAGAGTCCCGAACTAGGACGAAAAACAGCTGTCCAGAACTACCATCTGGTTTTCAAAGGTTCTCTAACTGTAGGCGGTCAATTCGTCATCTGACTTGAAATCTTATTGTATTCTAATAACTGTAAGTTTGATTACTGTATAAAACAACCGCAAAGATATTATAAAATTTATTATGTCAAAATGTTTGGCAATTTAAACCAGGATGACGTAAGCTGGTGGGCAATCTTCCGATGAACTGGTTTTATGTGAGGTGATAATTAGCAGCAGTAAAATGACTGAGATTGAGAAGCAAGCAAATCTACTCATTTACAAAGTCGAATAGTATGCCTATTTCACTTACCATTTCGCTTTAGCATAACGTTGATTTTCTTGACAGGTAAAAGCAAAATTAAAATGGTTATTTCATCTCACCTACCCATTGGAACGTATTACTGATTAATTTTAAGAGCTCTGATACAAAAGGCTCGTGTAGTATTCTCCAATTCACGTGATCTTTAGCGTTGACGTGATAAAGGGCTATAGATCGGTAGATGTGTGGATTTCACAGCACCTCACTCTGTCCTTCTTTATGCCTATGTTATGTACTGCTGAGTGGTTAATAGTCCTGACGCGGAAAGAGGAAAATCAGAAGACCACCTCGTTCACGATGATACTTGTATTTTCCAAACAAGGAAAATAATGACTGTCACACAAGTGTGTGAGAGTGAAGGGTACGTAGTGTACGAAATGTGTGAACAAGTATACAGGACAAAAGTATATATGAAAATGACCGATATACATGAACCAATAGAAAGACCGTCTTACCATGATTGGTTGTAATGTCATGTGACAACAAGGTCATACATTGTTTATTTAGTTAATGGACAGACAAAAGCATATTGTCAGTTATAATGGAGTATCGATCCACATACACATAGCAAAATATAACAGACTGTCAGAAACAAAACACACACCATGTGGCTACATATCAGCCTACGAAACAAGGCCAGTGGAAGTGGAAGACCTGAAGGAGTTAGTTGTCTTTGATCACTGATATTTGCGTCGTTTCTCATGTTTTGATGTGGCGTAATATAGTGAGTAACAAGAATATTTACTCACCTTGTAACCAGTAGGTGCTGGCTTCGACCCCTAGTAGTGGGGAGATGGGTTCGTACTGCTAAAGAGTTTATTTGATTGTTTAATGTTGCCTAGGGGGAGTCTTATTTTTCATAAATTGGGGACAATCTTTAATAAACTTTTAAAGAACCTTATTAAAAGACCCAGTTCGTCTGCAAAATAATGACAATGTATATGCGCAATATGTCTGTTTTATTTTAATTAGCTTTATTATTATTTTCATATAGACCGAGTTGACAAGTGAATGTATGTGTGGTTAGATTGTTTTTGAAATAGTTCATTGCGCAGTTGCATCGTTTTATTGTATTTTTTGCCGAGTAACTCCGTCTTATAAATAACGCTATTTAGTGAGATTAGATTGTAAATTTCTTTCATTTAATTCTTTTAATTTATAGTATCAAACTGAGAAATATTACTACATGTCAAAGCTGTTTCAATTGACATGTAGTTTCATGTTTCAATTAAAAATTGATATCATATCAGTTTGTGATATGATAGTAAGAAATAAACTGTGCTCGAAATGTCATGCAGTTGCTAATACTGCATTACTACTGGTTGTCAAATCAAATAAACTTTTCTAATGTGGAATTACAACCAATCAGAACAGTTTATTATTCACTGACCTAACTGACCTTAAATGTGGGGTTGGGTCAGCGGATAATAAATTGTTCTTATTGGTTGTTGATTTTCTGAAGATTGAACTTTGAAACGAAAAGTTGCCCAATCAGATTATTTCCTAACCACAACGTAGGCTAAATCTAGATTTGATTTAAAATGTTTTCAATTTTGATTACTTCTTATCAATCTGCGTCTATGTACCACTGACGGATGTTGTCAGTATCACATTTTTTCCTTCTCGTTCCCAGTAGAACATAGGGCCTCAAGCTAGTGGCTTAAAGTTTTTGTAGCAGTGTTTAATTTTATAGAATGGGGTTGCTAGCCTCATGCCCAACCTTTCCCCTTTACCAGCATTTTTTCTGGCTTAGCAAGGTAAAGAAGTGCATCGGTGACCGGGGATCGGACTCCCATGGTCGGCAAACGTCTTAACCGCTGTGCCACCCGACGCACGTCAGTATCACGTGCCCCAACATTATTGATGTCATCAAACTGAAGTATTCAACAAAGAAAGAACTTCAAGTGAACATAGAAAATACAGAGGTAATGAAGATATCTAAGCAAGAACAACAAACATCGGGTACTGTCAGCGGGAGGAATCTAAAGGAAGTCACCTACTTCACTTATATAAGCAGCATCGTCTCAGGTACATACAGATGAGGACTTAAGAGCTAGTCACAATCGAAGAAGCAAGACAGATCTGAGAGTAATGTTGAACAGTACCACTAGTATTCTCCAGCCACTGGTTCTCAGCACCCTGACATCCCCAGTCAGTCTGTTTCCATCTCAGACTAACAGTCAAGGCTTTCATGAATTGATACTATGTTTCAATTTCCCTACACCTAACGGTTTTGCAATCCAACTCTATATCAACTAATTTTACTCGTTGAGGGAGGTGATGTATCGTCGTGCTTAGTACGTGTCTTAAACATCTCAATCGATGTGGCTTCACAATCTCATCGATTTATTTTTCTTCCTTGCCCAACTTTCCTATGCCTAATGTCACAGTTACTACCTCAAAACAAGAGATACAACGTAAATATCAGTGATCGAAGACAGCTAGCTGCTTCAGGTCTTCCACTTTCAGTGGATTTGTTTCATGAGCATAAAGAAAAACAGAGTGAGGTGGTGTGAAATGCGCACACCTTTCGATCGATAGCCGGATATCACATCAACGCTAGAGATCACGTGAATCGGAGAATACTACATGAGTCTTTTGTATCCATCATTGGAATACAATAAGATCTTAAGTCTGATGGCCAATTGACTGACTAAAATTAAAGGACCTTTGAAAACCAGTAGCAATTTCAGGGCAGCTGTTTTTCGTCCTTTTATATGTACTCACCTATAACCCCGATGAGGATCGAACCTAAAATGTGCAGGTTATCAGGCCAGTCCATTGACTAGTCAACCACTTGAACAGAGTCCAGTGACTCATGAATTCTAAGGCCTGTTAATAACGCTTGTTTGCTCTTGAAAGGTACAAGTTGTTCTAGTAATATTTTGTACTCTGTCAGCGTTACTAAGTACAGTGTGCCTAATTAACCATATAATCACTACGCTACTTGACCTGCAAGTACTGATGACAAAAGACAAATCAAAAAGGCTCAGTTGTTCTAATGAGCAATATATTTTAGTAATATAAAACATTTAGGTCATTAGAAGAAAATGTTTTAGTACCTATCTCGATAATATGATTGAACTACAGACGCTGAGGATGTGTGTTGCAGGTACAAAAGAGGAGCACGAATTGGTGCTTTAGCCTGGGGTGAAATGCACACATTGACGTGCTCTTGCGGCAGTTTCTTGTCCTCAACGCATGACTGGATTAACTGTTTGCTGTAGAATAATGTGATTTATAAGATGGTTACCTGCAATGCCTTCTTCCGATATTTCTGTTGCTCAGCCTCCACATAGTCATTCCCTTCTAGATTACACCTTACATTACGTAACGCATTTTCTAGGCAAATAATCACAAATTAGTTCAATAAGACAAATAATAAATCTTTCCAAATAATTAAATATATATCTATATATATTCTCAATCATTTGTTTATTCTAAAGCTCTCCTATCCTATGGTCGTTGATGAAATCCCAGAATTACCTGAAATAGAAAGTAACATACTTGTCAGTCATCTAAGAAAGGTAAGTACCAATATTTCCTCTGTGTGTGGGATTGTTTATTTCCTCTATAGACCTCTCTGATTGTCGAAAAATGTTTCCAAGAGTTGGTTTGTAGACATATGATTTGTTTCAATTTTGATCACAGATCATTATTAGTTAGAGGACCATTGAAAGCCAGTCATGAAATACTGGACACATGTTTTGTCCTAGTTTCGGACTCATCGACATTACGCACCCACCGCCAGGCTTTGAATCTACAACTTTCCGATCACTAGGTGGGTTCATAGACCACTGGGAACCGACTCAGTGACCAGCAAATGAACTATAACTTCTACCAATTTGGACAATTACTCGCCAGTGATGACAGTGGTTGGTGGTCGCACTAAAATCACGAATTGGTGGAAATTAGAACTCATGGGCTGACCATTAGGGTGGCAGAGTCCCGGTAGGTGAATAGTCTGCGAGCCTACTTGGGTTCGAGCCGTGGTGGTGGTTTTGTACTGCCAGTGAGTGCGAAACTAGGTCGAAACACGTGTCTAGTACTCTCTCTCTCTAAGTAGTATCGATCCTAGGCCAAACTTGAAATAAATCAAACCCGTAGAAGTTAAGTCTTGAAAACAAATACTAAATGAAATATTAAAGCAAAATTTGATACAGTTGGAACGAAACTAGTCTTCTTAAAGCTTAGATCAGAAGGTGATGAGGTATCTAGGAGAATTTAACATAGAATAAGTGCTGCTCACAAGCGAACGTTTCCAGGTATCAAGATAGTTACATTTAACCGAATGCAGTGCTCACTGAGGCAATCTAAGGTTGAGTAGTCTCCCATTCATGTTACCTCGAACTGCATGTACCAGTTTACATGTATGTGGCAAGGCATATATATTGGACGAATAGAAAGGAGGGTTTGTGACTGCATATCCGTGCTAGCTTCTCTTTATCACCTGTGGCTGAGGCAGTCACCATTAAACAATCAAAACCGAACTTATTTATACTGAAACTGGACTTGGCCAATATCTTTTTGCCTACTCCACATAGACAGCGTATACCCCTTAACGTGGATCAAACCAATTATTAAAGACTTCATGAGTCGATGTATTGTTTTGATGTGACTACATCTAATTATTTTCCAGTTTAATCCTATATCGCACAAAATTACTTTCCGAAGTAGCCGATGTCTCTGCATGCGTAACACAAGTCCTAGCCATCTTGACCAATGGAACTTCCCTCTGAAAGTACTCCCTTCATCATGCATCGCGGAGATGTTCCTCAAAAAAAGTTAAAGGGTGAATGTGAACATCTGATGCTTACAAACGGGCTGGTGTATATGCAAGTCTACCTAGGGGAGCCGGAAAACCTTGACTGCAAAGCTCTGTTGTACATCGGCTGTAGAATTCGAACGAGTAGAATGGAGTATGAATCTGTTTCGGTCACCGGCAACCGTGGGAATGTATCTCCCAACTTTGCTTAGATTTCAACTCAAAAAGCTGGATGGTTACTCCCTTAAGAAAACTATCGGCTCTGGTGTGGGCGGTATCCAAGCCAATTCATCATCTTTTGGTGCCCATAATAAACCAAGTTTGTCTTTTTGTAAAAGTAATAATAATACCCCAGGTGTGTACACCATTCTCTGTTGATTGCTTTCAAAATACGCATGCCATTAAATATTTATTCGCTTATATATTTAACAAAAATTCATTTTCGATTTGTTTTCAGTTACTTCATGAGTTTTCAAGCTCACCGATAATCGATTTAGATTTAGATGAATCATCTAAGCAATGGTCTCATTCATCAGCACGTGCAGGCGCCTTAGAATTGTCGAAATTTGATCCGTTACTGTATACGCTTACAAGAGATTCTGTTGATGTTGCTATACGTGTGTCAATGGTGAGTGTTTGTGTATTGTGCTGTTGGTTTGCTATTTTTTGTGTTTTAAAATAGGTTTATTCAATAGTTACTTCTGTGAGGTTGAATATCACAGGTATGAATATAGTTATAGTATTATATAAGTAAAGCTGATTAGTATTATTATTGTAACTGTTCCCCTGGGTTCCCAGAGGAACAGCACACATTTCCACTTTGTTCTGCTCTCTGTGGTTGGTCATCTTTAGCTGGCCTCACGATTGCCCATAAGCTTTCATCTCCTCACGCGATCCACTCCATGTCACCCTCGAAATGATGGCCTGGCGCGCTATGTCATTCAACGGTCTCTTCAAGGCTGTGCCCGATCTATCTCCTTTTTCTGCTTCATATTTCTGGAAGATTTCTTAATCCTTTCAGTTACATATCGGGAAAATTACTTAACTCTTTAATTTTAACATTCACTCAGGATTCGAAAATGACCGACTGACTTAGTTTCATCATAGGACTTTGCACAGAAGTGAGTGAGTGCACCAGTTCAAGTTGCCATACTCAATTTAACACACGAGAAATGTAGAGAAAAGAGTGGGAAAAAAAAGAAATTCAAATGAATTGTTATATGCGGTCTCTAGAAAAGTCAGGGAGAAGAGAAATTGAAAATCGCTACAGTGGACAGAAATGTACAGTAAATACAAGTAGTAACATTTACAAGTCATTGGTTCTTGGAAACATTTTTTCCCCAATACAAATTTAAAACTAGCAACAAAGGTTAATAAAGGCAGGATATAATCACTTCATCAAATTTTCGGCAGAACTCTTCAGCTGAATACTCTGCATGCAGGGATATATATCTATTTTTTACGAGTTGGTCACGGATTGATATCACCTAGAGAGCCACTGAAAACCAGCCACAGGGAGTGCTGAACAGCTATTTTATTCTAGTTTGGGAATCATCGTCAGTACGCATCCACCACAGTAGGTTCGAACCCAGGACCTTCCGGTTACAAGGCAAGCTGGCTCGTATACCATTCAGCCACTGGGACGCGATTCAATGACCAACCCATCAATTCTAACTTCTACCAATTCGTGATTTAGCGCGACCCCAACTCGTAAAAAAAAACTAATCCTTACGAACCAACTATAGAAAAGAAATATATATATTATCAGGAATACATTTGGAGATATAAGACTGATAAGCAAATAAACTGCATTGATTTATTAAGGCAAAACGACAGATGAGAATATTTTTCAGGTCATGCTCAAATAGATAAGGGGAAGGGAGAATGGGAGATTAAAATTACGATAAAATAAATTACGGTTCAATTACATCACTTGAATAAACAGACAGAGAAAGAAATTAAATATATCGAGAATTGTGAACTGAGTAGTATTAATAGTAACAGCTGTAATAATAATAATAATGTTAAAACGAGTTAAGATAACTCGAAGTTAATTGGTGGATGTTGACCACCAGTGGAATCCAGGATGCGCATTTCGTCCTATGTCGGACTCGTCACCCGGAGTTAAGATAATGCTACTGATAAAAGATAGTTTTAAGTGAATTAGGAATAATAATGAGAAGTAGAATAAAGTGGTGGCACAGCGTTTAGGATATTCGCTAACCATGCACATGATCTGGGGGTTCGATCACCGGCCAACGCACACTTGATATCAATGGTCGGCCTGCTAAATTTGGGCCACCGATATCGCATGCTGAAAATCCCATACTTGTACCAAAATACTGTGTGGAATCGGGCTTTAGTAAAATAAAAAAAAAATAAATAAGCAAAATATATTGCCATGGTAGATTCAGAGTGACGACCATTTCTTTTTTTACACAGAAACCTGGTTTATAAACTCTAATTGCACAACACTTCACAATCGTGAGCATCTTCCTGTTTGTTTGTCTGCTAGCTAACACGAGTGAATGACTTAACAGTGCATCAATATCCTGTCCGTAGTAGTCGACAAGATACTTTGTTATTTAGACTTATAGGGACTTTGAATTCAGCTGTTTTCAAATACTTTGGAAAATACTCCATCATGCCAGTAGACAATCGGATTTCTGTACGGCCTGTGTTTTCGCTTCCACAAACACAATGAAATTGATATAGGGAATTTGAAGTCTCGAGGATTGAAAACTGGTAATTCCCAGATTGTTAAAGCGTCCACTTAGTGAAGTTAAGGAAAAATGGGTTCCGCAGCATAATAAGTTCTCTTGATAGCTTTATGAAGTCTTCATTTGACTACTTCTTGTACATTGTCTCCTTTGAATGGCAAATTGATATATACAGATTTCTTTGAAACTATTTGAATAGTTTTACTGGGGCTTATAGCTTTAGGATATTTATTGATGAACTTCTCAGGATATCCATTCTTAGATAAAATATGCTTCAGAGTTTTTATTTCATGTTCTACTGTACTATCAGAACAAATTTTGCGTGATCTGTAGAATAGTGTTCTAACTGAGTTGTTTGTATATTGGATCGATGCAAAACTTTTAAAGTATATGTACTGTCCTGTCCATGAATACTGTCTAAATGTAGACCTTTTGATTGTGCTATCAACCCTTTTCACTAGAGCAGTGTCTAGGGATTTAATAGTATTATTATCTATAGTTTGTTTCGGTGAATCACTTGTTTTGATTTTCTATATGTTACAATGGGAATTTTCCATGAGTTATAAGGGTTAGTCATGTTTCTACGAGTTGATCATGGGATGATATCAGTTAGAGAACCATTGAAAACAAGCCAAGGAGTACTGGAGAGCCGTTTCATCCTGGTTCGGGAATCATCGTCAGTACGCACCCACCACAGTAGGTTCAAACGCAGGACCTTCCGGTTACAAGGCAAGCTGGCTCGTATACCATCCAGCCACTGAGAACCGATTAAATGGCCAACTCATGAATTCTAACTTCTGCTAATTCGTGATTTAGCGCGACCCCAACCAGATGTCACGTGTGAGGATGGATGTCCCACCAACGACATTGGTTGGGGTCCCACTAAATCACGAATTAGTAGAAGTTAGAATTCATGAGTTGGCCATTTAATCGGTTCCCAGTGGCTGAATGGTATACGAGCCAGCTTGCCTTGTAACCGGAAGGTCCTGGGTTCGAACCTACTGTGGTAGGTGTGTACTGACGATGATTCCCGAACCAGGATGAAACAGCTGTCCAGTACTCCTTGACTGGTTTTCCAATGGTTCTGTAACTGATGTCAGCTCATGGTGAAATCCTCCAACTAATCAAGCAAACAAAATTTCTCATATTGCGTACTAGTTTGATTAATCCTATTTTATTAATTTATTATCTGTATACATACGGGAAAGTCTCAATTGAACTGAATAATAAGTCATATCCATTGTACAAAAAGTGACGCTTTTCGCCCAAATGGTCTGATGGAAAACACTTTGGTGTTTGAAACGATGGGTACTCGGCTGGGTTTGATCCTCATTGGGAACACGATCACTCACTCACTCACCGGGGAATGCAATTACATCCAACTGACTGACGAGCCCCAAATGAATCGAAATGCCCATACTAGTTTCCGGTGCTACTTACTATCCACCAAATTACTTAAGCGTGCTAATAAGTTCGTTGAAAGGAGTCTTTTCTCTTTATTCCTCTTGTTTTCCTTTCCTACATATTCTTATGGGAATTTCCCACAAATTTCCTGATTACTGTCGCTACAACCATCATTTTGTTTCATCGAAACAAGGTTTTCTTGAAATAAAATGTAATCCTCCTAAACTGTTAACAAGCCAAGGTGCTAGTCTGGTTTAAATTTCGGTTTTTTCCCTTCAGTTTCACTCATTCATATTTTTTGTGCGTTTTTCTCCCCTTCTTCTTTTTGCTAGATTCTATTCTTTAATACAAGCAACGTTCTAGGAGAATTCACCAATCATATACGTACTCTACGATTATTTCCACGTCCAGTAGTTGCATTTCAATATGAAGGTTTTATGAAATCTCGTCCAAAACCGTGTTTATTCACTAGTATGTTGGCAAAAACTCAGGTATGTTTATATATATATATATATATATATATATATATATATATATATATATATATAGTATATACTTTGCTCCATTATAGTTGTACACGTGAATGCTGAGTATGTTGCACATAGACTGTAGTTCGTACAATTTTATTCGTTTAGCTGGCTAAGTGATTTTATCAGAGGAGCCTTGTGTACTTATGGAAACTCTGTGAGTGTGTGTGGGCAGGGGGGGGGTAGCGGTTCCTACATTCTGACTGCCAACATCATGCAAGTTGATTTCTTCTTGAGTTACCTGAAACTGAAGGAACACTACTGTGATGTATGACCACAGAGTCCAGAAGATAACTGCTTGAGGTCGGTCACACACTTGGCTTGTTTGATGAAGTGATTTTCAGAGTTTCGTCCATATGAAGATCTTACTGTCACTGCGAGTTTAGTAGGGATGTATGATTTTCATGGTCGGCCTCCTCTTATCCTCCTCCTGCGTCCCAAGAGTAGGGAGGCAACATAGCTACCTGGTGTACTGATCATCTGAAATAGAATCACCTTACTTCTGTTACATACCTATTCACTGACAGTACGATTTCGCCCACAGACAACAAACATAGCGTAAACCAATTACACTAAGATGGTAACTGCTTTTAGTCTAAACGCTGTCCTAAAGGATCTTTCTGGTATGTTCGAACCTTCAGAAACGTTAGTTTCAGCCAGTTTAGCTCGTTGAATCATTGCAATATGCAAGCCTGACTACCATCGTCATGTCAAAGCAGCTATCTGTCTAACAGCCTAAATGTATGCTTTGCACGCATAGAAAATGACCAGCTTGTTTCACACGTGTTTTTCGCAGATTTCTATTTGTTTGACTAGCTTTCATTTGATCTCAGGCGTAAAGATTTTCTTTTTCACCCGCCATACTTAGAACAACTTTTGTCTAGAAGGGAATTATTATTACATATATATGTGCCTCGGGGTTAATTTTGCTCTCTTTTCGTTCAAATAAATAATAATATTGATTTTCTGCATATCCGTCGTGCTTTCATAAGTATTTAAACAGGCGCATGGTCCTAGAATATGTGCGAAATTTAGTATACAGAATTTTTTTTACTATCGTATGCGATTTAGCTGATTGGTTCAATCACCCGGCTTCCAGCCTTTAGGCCGTAGGTTGGAGTCTCGCACCCCGATGCTTCAGCCCAACCAGCTGTGACTCTTACATAATAAGTGTGGTTCATAGCCAGGGAATTCCTAGAAGGTCGGATACTCGGACGATGAATCAGTGATCAACAGACACATTGTTGTTGTAAATCAAATTTATCAACTAGGAAAAAAGAATATGCCATAAGACAAGAGAAAGTAAAATTCTAAGTCAGTATTATTATTGTTTCCAACGTTTTCACCCCGCTCCAAGTCTACCCACACTCTTTCTTCTCCTCTTCACATGACCTCCTCCAAGTCACCCTTTCATTGACGACCAACTCGCCGCTTCCCTTTCGGCTTCCACTCGAGTTATGGCTTGTCTAGTGATGTTACTTGATGGTTTCCTCAGAGTATGGCCAGTCAATCCATCTCCATTTCTTCCTGCTTATTTGTTGCACAATCAGTTCCTGGTTGGTTCGCTCATTGCCAGAGATCCCTGTTTCTGATCATTTCTGGCCATCTGATCTCGAGTAGTATTGAGCGAAGACAGATGTTAATGAAGGTCTGTAGTTTGTTTGAGGTGCTCTTATTGACGCGCCAAGTCTCTGATCCGTATAGTAAGTAGCACTGACTTCACATTGGAGTTGAAAATCCGGATGTTATTTTCATTTTCATGCTGAGTGCTGTTGACCTCCACATAGACTTGAGAGTAATGAAAGATTGCCTTGGTTTCCCGATCCTCGCTGCTTTGATATCTTTGTCAGTTCCGTCCGCCTGTAGTTGAAACGATGCTTTCCAGGTTGGTAGGTAAAGGAGGTTGTTTCTTTCAGGTTCCTCCCATTTATGCTGGCTGATTGTTGTCTGTTTTTGTTGCTGCTGTTGCTGTTGGCCAGGAATCTTCATCACCACATCTATTTTCTCAATGTTCACCTGAAGTCCTATCTTCTCTGGATGCTTCTTCTGTCGCCAACTTGTTGATTTTCATTTGCATATCTTCCAGTTTGTGGGAAATCAGACATATATCATCATCGGCGAAGTCCAGATCCTCCAAGTTTTTTGTATGAGTCCATTTTATGGTTGTTTCCTCTTTGCCCGCAGCCTGTCTGTCGCATTATCCAATCTACTGCTATCAGGAACATCATTGGCGATATTAGGCAGCCTTGTCTTACTCCCGTCTTCACTTCATAGGATTCCGTAAGTTTGCCGTCTTGGATTCATGGACATGCAGCATTGTCGTACAACTGTTGGATGAGATGTACAATTGTCGGTGGCACCCCGTAGTAGCTAAGTCAATAAGAAAGGTCAAATTAACAATCACTCAGAAGAAAGATTGTCAGGAGATGTACAATTTTTGTCATTCACATAGAGAATTCAAATAAGTTCACACTTCATATTGAAGTTTTCGCGCTGAAGTGATGTTGTCTAGGTGAAGGACAATCAAAGCTTGAAATTAAAACCATGTCAAAATCATCCACTTGAGACACAAATCCTTTCTATGGCATGAAATATGTTTTCCGAGTAAAAGTTATATTTGTAAAATCTCAGCGAAATTGAAATGAGTAATTCCGACGTTTACTGTGTTTGGCAAACTGGTCCGAAATTCTTCAGGGAAATTAAGTGAAATTAACATAACAAAGGAAGGTTTAAGAATAAAACTTGTGCACTGTGGTAGAGTGGCATTTAAACCTACAAACTCACTCAGGGACAAGCTGTGTAGGTTAAAGGACCCAGTTGACCCAATTAGACAAAATAATATTATTTACAAAATACCATGCAATGACTGTGAGGTCAACTACATAGGTCAAACTAGTAGGTCAGGGGTAGTCAGATTGTCAGAGCATAAGAATTTAGCTAAGGTATGAATGGCTGACCCCGAGAAGATAAGTAATTTAGAAAAAAGCTCAGCAATTGCAATGCATGCGCTAACACACAACCACACAGTAGGGTGGGAGAGGGTTAAAATTCTAAAAAGTAATCTAGGTAGGTGGAGAGAGAGGTTGATTACTGAATCCTTGTTCATCGAGTCTGCACCCAACACATGCAATAGGAATGACTTATCACTCATACCTGAAATATGGAAAATACTATTACCAATCACATCAAGTGAAAATCAGGAGAAAAACAATGGAACTATATAAATGAATTTAGGAAGTCGTGTGATTACCTTGATATGATTATGAACAATAAATTGTACTCGAAACGTCATCAGTAAACATTACTGTATAACACTGTGAGACTTTATCAAAACAAAATTTACCCATAAAGGAAGGTTTATTTATAAAAAACAGTTGTAAGGCGTTCGTTAGCCTCTCCATACGAAGGTATAGACAATCAGGAATTTAGACAAAGTATGATTAATTAGTGATACACATCCATTTATCTATTAATCAGGATTTACCATGCATCAGCTAACATCACACCTTCACATCCGTTTAAACTGTTGGGATTCACCCATGTATGCAAAGCTTCTGCAGTCAGTCTTTCTTTATACGAATCAAAACCTTTCTGTAGAACCTTAGTCCTATCAAAGTCGATCTTGTGTCCCGTTTCTATGGAGTGCACTGCAATCGTTGATCTGTTTTCTAGCTTCTTTAAGTCTACAGAGGTCTTTGGAACCATCTTCAGATATTGTTTATGGTCTTTCACTCTTATATTTACCTGTTTGGAAGTTACTCCTACCTATAGAGCGTTACAATCCCCACAATTGATCGGGTACACACAATTCTGTTTGTTGTCTTCTTCTATTTTATCCTTAACCTTCACGAGTGAAGAGCTTAAGGTGTTAGTTGCACGAAAATATGCTCTTATGTCATGATTGTTAAGGATTCGCTTTATCTCATCGCATGTATACATATATTTTCATATTCAGTTATCAACGACCATGAACTTTTAGACGAACGTAATCACTAAAATTCTGATGAAAAGTATACTCTGTTTAAAGCATTTAACAAAAGTAGACTAATACTTGTAAGTCTGAGGTCAAATTTTGATCACAACTCATACAATTTCGTTTATTATACATGTCTCATGACTCATATGATTGGAAAAAGTTTTTAAAAACAAGAGATGTCCTTTTTATATATATAAACCTCTATTATGATAAGTTCGATTAATTTCCCAGAAAAATTTCGGATCAGTTTTCCGAACGCAGTAAACGTTAGAATTACTCATTTCAATGGCTCTGAAATTTTACATATATAATTTTCAGAAATGTCTACTTGTCACTCGGCGCCCAATCTTTTTAGAACTATTCGGTCAAATCCTGATCACCGTTCATATGAATTGTTTTCTGAGTAGTTGAGTCCTAACTAACAAGCATTATTTAATGGCTAGTTCTTTGACAACAAATGTTGGCGCCCTATCTCCTGTGTTAAGTGGTATGTACTTCGGTGAGTAAGGTTGAGGTCCGGCGTAGAGTCTTACGTAAGGACGGTAAAGGTGAGTTAATCGATGAGGTTGTGGAGATTAATCGATTGGGATGGCTAGGACACGTGTTGTGCATCCTGAAGTACCACCTTCTGTAACCTGCAATGTGAGCAGATATAAGATTAGGTTTGAGGAAATGAGTTAGGACTGTTCAAACCAAAACATGACATCAATCCATAAAGTTATTGACTGTTGGTTCGACTCATGGGGGGAGGTGTAGGCTGCCTGGTTGGGGTCCTCGGGATTCTAAGAATCAGTGACTGTAGACTACTGGGGCTATGGCTCAGAATCGTTCTCGATGACATTGATGCACTCACTGTTTTCAATCTCTCATATCTACTAAACCCTCATGTTTAGTTGCCATGTTACCATTCTTTCTCCCTTCTCATATCTGCTCATTATAGTCCATGTTTCTCTACCTCTTCCTGCCACATGGAATGTGAAACTCAGTTTCCATTTACTATCACATAAGGATGTCTTTTTGTTTAACTGTTGTACTATGACAGTGACTGACCATATAATTGGGAAACTAATGTCATTTAGTTTTCTCCACTCAAAGTATGTAGAACTTATAGTCGGTTATACTATCTACAGACAGACAGCCTCAATTTAGCGGAGTGTGATGTGATGGAGTGAGGTGGTGATCAAGAACACCTAAGTCAACATGGTTTTCGAAAGGAAGACTCAGAACAATCAATAGCTCAATTCTGGAGCATATTTTTCACTTCTGGTCACCCAGAATCAGTAGAGACTTCATTCAAAGTCATATCTGAGGTACAACTAAGCCATTCAAAAAGATTTCGCCTGCATCTTCATCCATTTGGAGAACTCCTGGAATTTGTGTCCAGAGACGTCTTATCCAACCTTTTTTTACTACTACCGTGACCTTTTCAATCCTTTGTTCCATTGTTCCTTCAGAATTATTTCCAAAGGATTATTCACCTTACGCAACACTATTCACTTTTTTCACACATCGAAGTCAGTTGGTGACAGATGGCTAGATTAGAGTCCAGGATGCACATTTCGTCCTATTTAGGACCGCTCATCAACTGAATATACCTGCATATTCCCCAGTGAGTGATGATGTTCTCACGGATGTTCGAACCCAGTGCCCTTAGTTTCAAACGACAAAGCGTTATCCACTAGACCACTTTGGCCATGAGAGACACCTATTGTTCAACGGGTCTTATTAACTGTTTAATTCAACTTAGATTTTCCCGTCGGTTGATTGGACCGAAGTGCTTGGTCTCAGGTTGACATGCTGACTCTAGTGAATAACGTTCTGGCGTTTGAAACTACCGCCACTGGGTTCGATTCCCGATGGGAACACCATCACTGACTCACTGGGGATGCAGGTACATCTAGCTGACGAATCCCAAATAGAATGAGATGTGCATCCTGAATTCCACTGCCGGTCACCACCCATCAGTTGACTTCAAGTTACATGACCAGACATCATTGAAGCATCTGCACAAAGAGCTGACATGTCAACCTTAGACCGAGCGGTACGGTCCAATGAATCGAAGAGAAAATCTAAATTAATTTTCTATAGTTTGGTTTGTAAGGGTTAGTTATGTTTTTACGAGTTGATATCAGTTAGAGAACCATTGAAAATTTGCAGGGAGTACTAGACGGCTATTTCATCCTAGTTTGGAAATCTTCGGCAGTACGCACTCACTGAGAAGTCTTGTCCAGTGAGGCCGAATTAGATGTCACGTGTGTGGATGGATGTCCCACCAACGACAATGGTTGGGGTCGCGCTAAATCGCGAATTATTAGAAGTTAGAATTCATGGGCTGGCCCATTGAATCGGGTCCTAGTAGCTGAATGGTATACGAGCTTGCATTGTAGACGGAAGGTCCTGGTTTTGAACCAACTGTGGTGGGTGCATACTGACGAGGATTCCCAAACTAGGATGAAACAGCAGTTGTCCAGTGGTCCTTTCTGGTTTTCGCTGGTTCTCTAACTGATATCAGTCCGTGATCAGCTCGTAAAAATCTAAATTGAATTAAATAATTTTTCATACATTGTTATTTCTCACATACTGCTACTTATTTGGTTACTCTAACTGACAATAATCTCTAACCTTTGTTGTCAGCTTCGAAGGGAAGTTATGAAAAGGAGAGGGATCTCCGTTTACCGAATGATGTGTCCTTAATTCACTTCACATGGGAATTTTTCATACCTTGAAGTAGCAGTTAATGCGATATTTAGATCCCAGTATTCTGACAGTTAGCACTATTTCATTATTTCAATTTCCATCTATTTTTTTTGGTGTGTTTGATTTTTAGGCTGTTGAATATTTTGCTGAGTCGTCGGTTTCTGCACAGAATGAGGCGTATCAACGGATCAATTCAGGAGTGTATTCAGCTGAATTAATCGGTGATAAATTCTATTGGTATAAAAGTCAACTGAAACCTGTGTATTTTAATTGTTGGGATAAATTGTTAGACGATACAAGTACAATGGTGGAGACACCAACACTGAGGAATTCCACACCGAATCCACATCAGTGTTTATTATTACTTCAAGCTTTTGAGACAGCGAAATTCACTTTTCACAGGCAATACTCTGAGGATGTTAGTATGGAGAATACTTCAACTGCAACATCAACAGCTGCTGCTACGGATTCGTCTAATGAATCCAGTATGGATTATTTTAGCGGTAAGTTTAATCATTGTACAACTTTTAGTTACGTAGTATTTATTTCATCACTATAAACTCTGCTAATGGATATAAACTTACTTTTATTGTATACTAATAACTAGAGTGACGTGTCCTTTCTTTGGTGCAGACTGAATTCTATCAGTCAGGTTTGCAATGTGGCCACCACTCTAGGTACCTCACCATCACGGTGCACATTGATTTGATGATATTAGATAGTTGGAGGCAATCGGCCACAGGAAGCCTTGGACCTAGGTTTCGTGCTAGTTGGCACTCACTGGTCAGCAAGGCGTATCTGCAACCTTGAAGGAACTTATGTCCCTTCTGAGAATCGAACCCGCATCACCCAGTGCTGCTTGAAGTCAGAGACGTTACCACTGAGCTATTCAGGCTTGCGATTGATCTCCTATAGGACTGTAGGGGATACTGTGATTGGACACCAGTAACTAGTAACTTAATTGACTTCGGCAATTCAGGGAATAGTCTTGTCAATTTATAATATATGTGGATGGTATTTGATATGATCTCGTCGACAGTGTTGGTATGATCGAGTGGAATTATACGTGATTATAACAAAAACACTGACTCAATGGACAACTCAACCGATATGCTCAATATTCTTACTCGTCTTTAGTACCTTCTGCTTCAACTGAGTCACGTAAAAATCAAAAGTCAGAGACTGTTAGGATGCCACCTATATTATAAAAAAAGGCACATCATATACATATATATTTCTAACCACATTGAAATTTAGCTAGATGAGTGGAAAATGGACTGTTTTGATTGGTTGGTGAAAAGTTGGTGGTATTTTACAGTGAGGCCAAGGTCATCCGATCACAAGATGAATTCTGCAACCACTGATTTAAAATATTGGTCACTGTTTTAGTTGCTTTCTATCGGTATTGTCCTTCTAAGTGAAGATCCTGAGAAAATTCAGAGTCTACTTATTATCTTGACCAGAAATCTAATTATGTTTGGTGTGTAATTCACAACTTGTGTAATGTGTAAGATCTCAGCATGGATGCATCATTTCTGGAGTAGACGTGTGATATCTGGTTATCGATTGAATGATATATGCAATACTCACGAGATCGCGGCAAAAGTAAAGAATGGATACGACGTTCAAATGACCTTGAATCAACCAATCAGATCGTTCAGTGTTACAAATAACTGCTTTTCATAGTCTTCGTTGCAAGTTTCACCCTAACCTTAGTTATAAACCTCCCTCAATCCTACCGTTAATCCTGAATCAGGGTGAAACTTGCAACTGAAATTATGAAAAGCAGTTATTTGTAATGCTGAACGATCTGATTGGATGGTTTTAAGGGCGTTTGACTGTTATGTCGATTCTTTATTGTTACCCAGTTCGCTTTGTTCTTCTTTATTGCTCTGGGACAGTTGCTGTTGAAGTAGAACGCTTGAAGATCCCAGCTGTCTTCGACAACAGATGTTTGTTTAATTGCACGAATGTATCTACTCATTTTGACCTCCCATATTCATCATCACTATTTCCCTGCGTTCCGACTGGAATGTAGGGCTTGAACAGCATATCTCCTTTTTTCCGGTTCCCTGCTGTCCTCTTTAGCTGGAGTCACGACTGCCCATAGTCTCTCATATCTTCCACGTCACCCCCGGAGCGACAATCCGCTCGTCGTTTCCTAATTCGGGTTCCATTCAAGAGCGTAGCGCGCGATTTCATTCGACGTCCTCCTCAGTGTGTATCTTACCCATCTCCTACATGTTTGTTTGGCAATAGGTTCTTGGTTGATTCGTTCTCACTAAATCTTCATTATTCTTTCTTTTGTACGATTCTGTTTATCTTAGTTTCTATGTATTTCATTTCTCTGTGTTGTCTATCTTCATGTATGTTTTTATGAAGTATAACAGTTCTGTATTAGAAGTGTGGTCAGTTCATTTAGTCATTTACTGTGTGAACTGTTATCGCTTACAGATAGACTGTGAGGAATTTCCTGATATCGGCGTAACAATAGGCAAAATAAGTCATAGAATCTCCGAGTGAAAGTTCTGTTTATACTACAATTAGTTCAGGTGTAGATATAAGAATATACAAAAGGAAAAGTGTGTGTAGGCAGTAGACAGCAGAATTCCTAACTGACTGAGTTTCAACTTAGAACTCCAAGCAGAAATGCACTAGTTCAACTTATCCTACTCCATAAAGCACACAGCTTTTATGTCGAAGTGTTCAGGAGAGGAAACTAGTAATAATTAAGTGAATCTGTGCCATTAGGGAGGTTCTTAGTCAGATCACCAGTAGTCTCCAACCATTAGTTCTTAGCATCCCACTGACTTCAACTGGCAGTCTACACCTCCCTACTTGGCTGACTGTAACTAACTATCAAAAGCCTCATGGATTGATCCCGAGTTTTATTTTGACAACCTTTAAATCTTTTGCAACCCAACCCTATATCAGATAAAGTTGCTAGTTGGGCAAGGTGTTGACTTGGTACGCGTAATACCTATCCTAACCATCTCAATGGATATAGCTTCACAACCTCATCGATTGACTCCCCCTCGTTGTGTCACACTGTACGTTTAACCTCAATATTACTCACCATATTATACCACTTGGCACGCGAGACATTAGGCGTGATGAAAGAAAGCTAGCCTTTTCATTTCTGAGAGCCATAATGGAAGACAAAGGAAACTTAAGGTGCGTGCACGCGTCATTTGATCGATAGTCAGATGTCGTGCCTACATTAGAGACGATGTCACGAGATTTTTATATTCGTTTTGAGATTCCTTCAGCAATCAGTTCTTTAAGGTGATGCAACTTCTAAAATATGTGAATTGGTCAACACGCTCTATCACTTCACCTCTTTAAGCTAGAAGTCAACGTAGTCCAGTCGTGCAGCATCATCATCATTCCCTTCACAATTAAAAATTGCCACATTACCACTCGGTCTACAAAGTCGAACGCCCACTTTGGATCAAGACGCTGCTAAGTGTGCCTCTGTTCCGCAATCCTTCGACAGATTCAGAAGTTTTCCGTACTGCTTAGTTTGAATAGCGTTATTAAAAGACAGAGTTCATCTAAAAAAATGTATTTGCGCAATACATTTGTCATGTGTGTATGTGTTTTAAGAACCTACAGGTAGCGTATTAAAATATGCCTGAAGGGATATCGATTTGCAAAATCGACCCCTTCGTGTATGTGTGTGTGTGAAATCGATTTTGTTACTTTTGACATACATTGATAATCCTTATCCGATTATATAACCAACAGTTATATATATATATAGATTGGGAAATAGGTGTCATGCTTGTTGGCCCTCGTCAGCATTGGTGTATCTGCAGATTCGAAGGAGCTGACGTTGCGGCGAAGTTAAACTTTCGACACCACTAACTACCAATCAGCGAATTATCCAATGAGATTCACGAACGATGTCGAATTATCCAATGAGGTTCACGAACGCAGTTCAATGTTGTATAGCGCCTGATTCATTTCTAATGTGTGACCTTACAAGGCTGTTGTTGCAATTCGGAGGTTAGTGTTTCCCAGTATTTCCTAGATTTCAGTTGCTCCGGAAAGAACGAATTTGATTGTGTGGTGGTATCATAACTTTAAAAAGCTAAACCAAATCAACTGATGGGTTTGTTCATCGTTGTACTATATGTTTGAAGCCTACTAACACTAGAGAGGGTATGCTGATAATTTCATTATTTTGTAGGAACTTTTTTCGCTAGGTCGCTTCTCTCCCTAAGGATAGCAGATAGAAAAGCAACTGCTCTTATACCTATTGTTACCAGAATTGTTAAGCGGGGGTCAATTATACACACGGAAAGGCTACAATTCGTTGTCATCTCTGGGATGTATTCATCGTAGAGACAAACATTCAAGTGATTTTGTGGATCCCGTTACGAGGACACATAAAAATTCTAATGAAGGATTTTGGGGCAGGTTGGAAAATAGGATAAGGGCTATAAATAGATCTCAAAAGGATCTCATTTATAGTCATTTGGATGAATATATGTACAGGATATGGTGTAACTTCTCCATTGACAGTCCCATGCTAAACTGGGAGATTTTCTCTCACATGTTCGAGAAAGATATCCCATGTAACCTTTTTTATTATCTATTTTATGCTTTTTTCTATAAATATACATTTCCATTCATCAAATATGCCTCTTAAATGTGATTGGTCCGTTCGAGGTCGTTTGCTGATTGGTTGTTAGTGGTGTCGAAAGTTTAACTTTGCCGACGTTGCCTCTGAGATTCCAATCTGTACCACTCAGTGAGACTAATTGTTTTTGAATACTGATGTTCCTCCTTAAAAATTATCATCATAATAATAAACTGAATGTTTAGACAGACAATAAATCAAAGTTTTATTGACTGACTTAATGGTAGTGTGAATAATTAATTTCAGTTGTTTTAAGCGAGTGTCGTCTTGTCTAAAGTCTTCTGTGTTGTTTGGAATCAAAGTTTGAATAACTGAATTATCTTCAAAACTCTACCTGTTTTATCTTGATGAAGTGTTTTATGTAAAACATCTGTCATCATTGTAATAGTTATGCATTCATCACTTCTATAAAGAAATCATGGCTTTTCATATTTCCTTTCGCCGTTGAAGTCTTAGGCGCTACATGAAATAGAAGAAATCCTTGAAGTGCTAATGAGAAGGAATAATTGACATCCACCAAGTTGTGTGTAAGGACAGGTGGTCGTTGATGGCACGCGCTAAAAACCGTGAATTGATAGACGACTTGGGAATTCAGTGGCTGAATAGTCAACGAGCTCACGTCGTAACTTGAAGGTCTTGGATTCGATGCTTGGTGGAGTGATGGGTGTCTACTGTTGAAGATTTCCAAAACTAGGACGGAACTGCTGTCCAGTACTTCTTGTTGGTGTTCGCTGGTTCTCTAAATTGATATCAATTCCTGATCTAATTAGCATCTTGATGCTAGATAACAATGGAGAAAAATGTCACACTACATACTACTGATTGATAAAAGTATTTGAGAAGCACTCATATCGATCAATAGTGCTTGCTTGCTAGGTAGCCAGATGAAAGTGTTTTGAAGACTGGACTGTCTATTTTCGCTGGTTTTTGTCTCAGTTAATCGGGGATGTACTCTGACTGAATCAGCTTAAAGGCCGAATCATCAGTTGAAAGTACCCAAAAATTCGACTAGCTACGTTCATAAACCAATAATACGTCTCATTGAAATTGTCCATATGAAAATTATGCATATTTCATGATGAAAATTCACCACAGTTTCTTATAGAAACCCAAAATATTGAGATCATATTATTTAATTATTGTATGGTGATCCTGAAAGCAAGCATAATTGTAGGATAGTGCATACTACTGATTAATTTGAGTAGTTGGAAAGTGTTGGTAAACTGCTGATGAGGTCAATTAGGAAGAAGTGGAAGATGCCATTGGTTGTTGTCAGTGGTTTCCGACTACTCATATCTTGATTTCCATTTACCATATCAAACAGGTCACATAAACTGTGATTGTTTTCTACCAATGAACTGTGTATATCATTTTCAAATGGTATATTTAATTCATTTGGGGTGGAGGTGGGGAAAAGCAGTGTTATTGTATAATCTTTTTTTTGCCTGAAAAAGCTGATTTGCTTCGCTCTGTATATTTTTGCAAAAGTTTGACTTATTTGAATCGAAAGAAAGGTGTAAGTTTTATTCCATAGTAGAATTCGATAACTACAGGGACGACAACTTTCTATAATAATTTCACTTAAAATTCACTCATTCAATTCGATTCAGCCAATCTCAATAACCTAGTAGTGACTAAAATGAAAGTGTAAAACTTTTGCATCGCCTCCCCCGATGGGTATTACTAGCTGATATAAGTGCAGGTTGGAAAAGAGTAAGTAGTGGCCGAACAAAAACATGCACTCATCAATCCATGAAATCCTTGACAGTTAAACTGAGTCAGGTAGCGAGATGCAGACTTCCGGGTTGGGGCCCTCTGGACTCTAAGAATCAATGACTGGAGACAATAGGTGACATGGCTCAAAATCATTGTCAGTGGCACAGATGTATTTAGTCTCTGTAATCTTTCGTATTCCTTTCTACCATTACCCATTCTGTTTCACTCTTATACTTGTCAAACTCTATTGATTCTCTTCACTCATCTTCTTGTCTACCTTTGTGTGCTATTTGGAGCGTGGCAACTGAAACTGCTGCACTTCGGTGCCAAGTTCTATGTTGAATCCAGACAGACAGACAGTAAAACCTTTTCCCTGTCAAGTTTATTCTGAAGACTATAGTTCACTGGTCCTAGATACTTATCACATTCTAGCTACCTCAACTGGGGCTATCGTGTAGTATCGTTAGCCTTCAAGTAGTAATTCTAGCTTAAAGCCTAGAACATGAATGTCCTTTTCCAGTAACTGAGTTCGGTCAAACAAACAGAAAGCAAAAGATTTCTTTTCTAGCTCCTGAGTTTCTTTATCAGGTTAACGAATTCATAGTTGAACGAAATATTCCCTCTGTACGGTGTTGAGGGACTTCGTATGCGCATAGCTGAATCATTGACTATTCGGAATCTGAAACTCGACATCTGCATTCAAAAGCACTACATACATTCACTCGCCCTGCTGTGGCCAGAGTAACGTTCTTAGTATAATTTCGCTTCTTATTTTACAGGTTTACCATTATTATTGTTATTATTATTTAATTATCATTATTATTCTCATCATCCTTATTTTATTATCACTCTATTACTATTTATTAATAGCATTCCGTTTTCATACAGATTTTATGTAAAAAAACACTCTGTCGCCTTTCCACTGGTTCCATTCTACACAATCTTGTTGATTAGGCATTATCCCACACTTATTACGTCTTGCCAACTTTTACCCCCTTTTCTGGCTTCCAATTAGTCGGTTACACGATTTCATCATGAGCTGATATCGGTTAGAGAACCATTGGAAAACCTTCATGGAGTACTGAACATCTGTTTCGTCCTAGTTTTGGGCTCTTCATCAGTACGTATCAACCGCCAGGGTTTGAACAAGGTGAGGTCGTAGACCATTAAGCCACTGTGACCCGATTCAATGGCCAGCTGATGAATTCTAACTTCTGCCAATTCACGACATGGCACGACCGCTAGCCAATGTCTTCGGCGAGTATTTGTCCTCACGTTCAACCTGCTGTGCCATACTGGTCACGTCTTCCCACCACAACCCCAGGTAACTACCTACCTCTAACTGATGTCAGCTCATAGTGAAATCCTGTAACTGATCAGTCAGATTCTTACTAACCAGTCCTTGAATTCCAGTAAGTCCCCCCATCCAGGTTACACTTAACAATATGTAATACATTTTTTTTCGAGGACAAATTTTACCAGTATCTGATTGGTTTTATGATTTCTTTGTTAAATATAATTAGGATTGTACAGCAGCTTATGAAAATGAATCATTGAAAAGAAAATTTTTTTCTTTATTGACGTGTTTTTCTTATGAATTCTTTGTGTTGAATGTTTTTATTGTTTAACAAGATCAGTGAATTCACTTTATCCTTCTTAATTTCCTAAAAATTTCTCCTTTTTCCTATGGTTTTGTTTTACATGATTCTACAGGAATATTCAAAACATATTCACAGGATACTGATTCCATAAATTCGCATGAAACACTCTCATTGAATACACCAACACCTGATATCACTGAAGAGTGTATTCTTGTTGAACAGAATAAACCATTGCCGATTGCTTTAGCTGAATATTATACACCTCCAAATGAAATGGTATATCCTAATGAATCAGATGATAATTGGAATATATCACCTAGACAACGTAATGTAAGTGTTTTTTTATATTCATTCATTGATACAGACAAAGTATTACATCTTTTATTATTATTACTTTGGTTTATTGTTTAAAATTGACTTTACCTGCAATTGGCCTATAAGCTTTCATTTCCACTTCACACGGTCTTCTTCATATCATCCGAGGTCGCTCACCTCGTCAGTTACACTTCCCTTTCAGGTTTCACTTGGCCCCTGGCGCCAAATGTCATTTAGTAATCTACTCGGCACGTGTCCTATCCATCTTCTGGTTGGTTGGCCGTCACAGTTGTTTGTTTTCTAACCGATCAGCTAATCTTCAGCATGAAGCCAGTGAATACAGCTGTGAATAAAATTCTACAGTATCTTGTTGGAGACGCTTTTAATGACGTTGATGCTAAATCTCTGAATCATGTAGATCTACTTACTTGATACAGTTGTTAAAAATTTGGACATTGTTCCTTGTATTTAGGGTTGTAGATCTCCGCGTTGATTTCTGTTTGGTTTTGACATCCTCAACTATACTGTCTGCCTGTAATTGAAACAATTCTGCCTGGGTCTGGTAAGAAGGAAAGACGACTTTCTTTATATTTCTCCTGTTGATGGTGATTGGTGTTTATTAGATATCTTCAACAATTCTATCTTCTCAATGTCTCTTTCTTGGAGTTCTGTTTTCGTTGCCTCCTCTGTCAACTTGTCGGTTTTGTGACCATATATCATCCAGTTGGGCGCGTAATATCCCTCAAAAACCTGCTGAACATGTGTCCAATCCATCACTATTTATTTTTATTATTCCCTTGAGTTGCGAGTGGAACATAGGGCTTCAACAACACGTCTCCACTTTTTTCTATTTTACCCATCCTCTTCAACTGGGTCCACGATTCCCCATAATCTCTCATCTTCTCCTGCTCCTCCTCCTCGTTACACGATCTCCTCCATGTCACCCTGGCACCGATGACCCACTCGTCGCTTCCTGTTTGGATTCCACTCGAGATGTGGCCTGGTGTGCGATGTCATTCGGTGGCCTCCTCAATGTATGCCCGATTCATCCCCACATATTTGTTGAGCAATCGGCTCTTGCTTGTTGATTTGTTCCCATAGTTTCTTGTTGCTTATTCTTTCTCGTCATTTGATATTCAGTATGGAGACAAGAAAGCTGTTGATGTTAGTCTGCAGTAGCCTGTTGGAAATCCTTTTCGTGACACGCGGTTCCATTTTCTGACCCCTATAGAAGAACCGACTTGACATTGGTGTTGAAAATGCTAATCTTTTCCCTTATGCTGAGTTCGATAGTACAAGATCTCGAATCAAAGACTGATGGACTAAATATTTCAGATGCCTTTGTCTACTGAGACGCAAGTTCTCTCTTAATGACGATGTCTAGCTAACATTTTGCATTTTGAATCTATAATATCGTCAATTCCTACTTCAATTTTGTTTTTTTAATTTTTCACTTTTTGATTATAGGATAGTGTATTATCCAATTTCGGAAGGTAAGTGTATGATATACGGTTTTATAAATATATGATTCATCATTATTAAAAAAAACCTCATTTGATTACTGCTCATTGGAAGCAAACTTTAAATACTGTGATAATTTATTACTTAGAAAGACTATCTGTAGTCACTGAATGAATTTTCAATCGAACGAGTTAATCGTCTGACGATAGCGAAGCGAGTTTTCAAACCGTAGTTGCCTGATCTTATAACCTTAGTCACAAAATTGAAAATCTTATAATAACGCTTCTAACTGGAATTTATCTAGTATAACACTGAAGAAATTATTGACATACTGATAAGGTGATCTAAAGAGAAATTCTTTTCAAGATTTTGGCTTTCTAAAGCATTGATTAGGTTCACTCACCTTTTCTCCGCTGTGTTTTGACTGACATGGTCGACATAATCTAGGAAATATAATCTTGAGGAAGTTCATCAACTGCGAATTCCTGTCGACGACATTGCTTGGGGGTTGCGCTAAATCACGAATTGTGGTAGCAGTTAGAATTCATGAGTCGGTCATTGAATCGGGTTCCAGTGGCTGAATGGTACACGAACCAGCTTGCCTTGTAACTGGAAAGTCCTGAGTTCGAACCCCTGTAGTGTGGGTGCGTACTGCCGATGATTCCCAAACTAGGATGAAACAGCTCTCCAGTACTCCTTGGCTGGTTTTAAATAGTTCTCTAACTGATATCAATCCGTGATCAACTCGTAAAAACAAAACTAGTTCTTACAAACCAACTGTAGAAAATCTTTTTATATCCAAAATATAAATTTTTAGTGAATACCATTAGTTAAGCTTATGTCGTTTCAGTGGTCGCGAATTCGTATACATATTTTATTATGATGAAGAGATTTCCAGTAAATTTTACGCTATCGATCATTACGGTAAACAGTCATTTATAAAATTCAAACATTTCTTTCGCTTCTGCACTTCAGGTACCTATTGAGTGCCTTTAATGCAATGAGTTCCCCATACGCGTGATTTAAAATCTTTAAATATTAGAACAAGACATATCTAAGCAAACAATACTGCTTTGTCTTCAATTAGATCTTCTTCAGGCTTTACTCTAGTGTGTACATAGCTTAATGTATAAAAGTTTTAGCTAATAAGGTTGAGTTTATGGATCAAAAAAGACAATATTCCAGCATGTAATAGAGGAATTTCCAGCGTATTCGGTTCTAAACTATTTCCTCTTCATACAAGGTTTACATATATAAAGTAATAATCTGTAATATCTCATGTGACGTAATGTTGTTGCATACACAGTGGGAGAACCAAATCAGCAGATTTCCCCTTCATTTCCTTGGAGAATTGCATACTGCTTTATTTGAAAGGCTAATTAAATATGGGCGCGAGCCCATATATTGATCATTCGCAATAATTGCTGGATTACAAAACTATAAGGAGTGAAGGTTTTAGGCATTTTGATAGATTGGAAATCCTGGTAGCCCAATAGTTTAAGCAGTGCCGCCAACAATTATACATCTCATCCAACAGTTGTACGACAATGCTGCATACCATGTAATCCAAAATGGGAAACTCACGGAATCCTTCTAAGTGAGGACGGGAGTGAGGCAAGCTGGTTGGCTGCCTACTATCTCCAGTGTTTTTTCTTGATTGCGGTAGACTGGATAATGCGGCAGATGAACAGTGGGCAGTGAGGAAACAGGCATAAAATGGACCCACATAAAAATTCTGTAGGATCAGAATTTCTCCGATGATATATGTCAGATTTCCCACAAACTGGAAGATATGCAAATGAAAATCAACAAGTTGGCGGCAGAAGAAGCATCCATAGAAGATAGGACTTCAGGTGAACATTGAGAAAATAGATGTGGTGACGAAGATTCCTGGCCAACAGCAACAGCAGCAACAACAACAGACAACAATCAGCCAGCATAAATGGGAGGAACCTGAAAGAAACAACCTCCTTTACCTACCAACCTGGAAAGCATCGTTTCAACTACAGGCGGACGGAACTGACAAAGATATCAAAGCAGCGAGGATCGGGAAACCAAGGCCATCTTTCATTACTCTCAGGTCTGTGTGGAGGTCAACAGCACTGATTTGAAGGGGACGCCAGCTTTGACTGAAGTAGTGTTTGTTGTGGTCGATACAATTAATTCTGACTGATCTTTTGGTCTGCATAGTATTGAATGAGGTGATTGTGTTGGCTTTGTGTACTGTGTGTGTGTTTCAAATCTTCTTAGTATTGTGGTCGTTATTTCAGAGATATTCTTTATATACGTGTCAGGTGAATATTCCTGTTGTCTTTATTGATGATAGTTCACAAAATAAATCGCCGTGAAAAGACACGAGATGTATTCTTACATATATCAATGTATGCAGATAATTACAGACACCAATCTGAGTGGGAGAATGTACGGGTCTTGACTGAAGCAAACGCGTACAATGCAAACAGGAAGTATGTAGAAGCGTGGTTGTTACTCAAATGAATCAGGCAGCAATTAACACACACACAGTACTATAAACTAAATTTACCAGCTAACTGGTAAGGGATAAATCACATGAAAAGAAAGTTTGAATTCCATGTCAGTTAATAAGAAATGTTCTTCATACACGGATATATATGTATATATACTTCTGAAATTACATTGGGAGTTATAAGACTGATAAGTAAACAAACTACATTGAATTAGTCATGCAGAAAGACACGTGCGAATGTTTTCCAGGTCATGTTCATCAAATAGATAAGGGGAGAGAGAGTATGAGAGGTCCAAATTAAGATAAATTGCATTACGCTTCAACTACATCACTTAGATAGATAATTAGACATTAGAGGATATAACAAGAATTGTAAACAGAAAAGTATCAATAGTAATAGTTATAATATCAATAATAATGATAGTGTTGAAGTGAGTTAAGATAATCCTAGGATACTGATAAAGGATAGTTTTAAATGAATCAAGAATAATAATAATAATAATAGGTAGAATAATAAGCAAAACGTATTATCATGGTAGATTCAGAGTGACGACCATCTCCTTTTGAACACAGAGACCTGGCTTATAAACTTGAATTGTACAAGTCTCTGCAATTGCAAGCATCTTCTTGTTTCTTTGTCTGCTGACAATAGTGAATAACTTGACCGCGTCGATATCATGTCCATAGTCCACAAGATGTTCTGTTATTGAGGCACTTTGCACTCAGCTGTTTTCAACCATTTTGGCAAATATTCCATCATGCGAGTGGACAATCGCCTTTCTGTATGACCTATGCGTATTTGCTCTCACAAACACACTCAAATTGATATACTTAGTTTGAAGTGTCGAGGATTGGCGACTGATCTTTTTTCCAGATTGTTAAAGCACTCGCTTAGTGATGTGTTAAGGATAACAATTTGATGAATTCATTAAATCCTGCTTTATAAACTTTTATTGCTTGTTTTAAATTCTTATCGGGACACAGTGGTTAGGACTCTCGCTGACCATGCACATGGTCCGGGGTTCGAGCCCACGCCGATGCACACCTGATATCTATGGTCGGCCTGCGAATTTCGGGCTACCGATATCCACGCTGAAAATTCCATACTTGTACCAAAAATACGGTGTGGAGTCAAGCTGTAATCAAAAATAAATAAAAATAAAAATAAATAAATGTTTTCAATAAGTAATGATCACTAGAGATGTAAATTAACAAGGAACGAATCACAACAGAGGTTGTCATTGGGAGATACAATCAAATCATCATTTAAGGAAAATTGAAATAAGTTCACCTCATATTAAACCTTGTGCTGAAGTGATATTGTCTAGGTGGAGAGAACGAAAGCTTCAGTTGGGAGTACACAAATAAATCAAAATTCCATATTTTGTGTGAAACAACCAGTAGTCTGTTGTATCTGTGACCAAATTTAAGAAAACATATTCTGTGCTTACTTACTTCACCTCTAGGTTAATCTAATTTGCTTTATATTACTTATTCACTGTGTGTGTGTGTGTGTGTGTGTGTATAGGGTAGACCAACAGCTTAAGAGTTTTAGGTGAAAATAAAGAAAGCAAGATGCTTGTCAGAACTTGAAAGTTCTCTCATCTTATCGAGTTCAACACTTTGTCTAACAGATTATTACAGAGAGGAATTCAGAGACCTAGCGTGTGTGTGTGTGAGAGAGAGGGAGAGACAGAATATTGTTCATCTGAGTAAATTAGGTCATTTCTGTTGATTTTTGAAGAGAAAATAAAAGAGAGTAACTCATAAGAGAGAGAGAGGGAGAGAGAGATATTCTGATTCCAGCCGAGAAGTACAAGTCAATCTTTTTATGAGGTCATACTTGATAATAGATAAAATAAATAGTTAACTCATATTGGCTCTCATATATACTTTTTTCATATATATATATATATATATATATATATATATAATGTGTACGCTGTTCGTTGTTGTTTGTGTGTATGGTTGTTCTCTCTGAACTGTTTGGTTGTGTCTTATTTACGAAGCTCTTCCATTGACAAAATTGTCAGTGGTTACTTCCGTGTGAATTGTGAGTATGTTTTGAAATTACTTCATGATACTCGAATCAAAGCAAGCATGAATTGAAAGTGTGAACTGAAAATATCTAAAAGAGGCAATGAAGTTAATGTACGTATGTAAGACTTCGGCATTGTGATAGTACGTCATGCCATAGGAATTGGTTTATGGAGTATATGTCACACACACACACACACAGAGTGAAACAGTATTATTTACGGGGTGATGTTTCGAATACAATTTATTATCGTTCATATTCATAACACCACTTGTGACTACAGCACTTTGAAACTTAATCTTTACTGTCCTTATTCTTTCTTCTTGTTTGACGTATGAAGGGTGGTAGAATTTTTCAGATATCCTAGAGCACAAGTGTTGGATCATTCCTCCAGCGTATATTCTCAAATGACTACATAAGTAAGGCTTTAGTTACCATTCTTTCTCACCCCTCTGTTACATTAGATTTCAGAAGAGTCACGTTGTATAGTCTCCTGTAACGACACACAG